CCCCAGAAAGGCAAGGTTAGACCTCTTATGTGACCCTGTTTACCTCAAATACCTTCATAATGTTGGCAAACATGATGAAGACAAACTTGGCAAATTTGTTCTGGTCTTGATAGGTTTTAGTTGACTCCCAGCCCTGATTATTTCTCATTACACTATACCATACTATGACTACAATTCATAAAAGCTGCAGGACACTACCCACTCCCACACCTCAGAAAGGCACGGATAGATCTTTGGCAATTATGGGTTGGACTTGACATGCCAACTACAGTTTGCTTCCCTCTCCCAATCCCCATAAGAACAAGGTGAGCTTAACTCACCTTAAAGAGCCTCAAGATGTTGGCGACCATGATGGAGACCGAGCTGGCGGCTGCACCAATGACTCCGACGATTTTGTCGGGCTTGGCAAATATGGGCTGGTCTCCATTAGCACAGCGTACATCCGAGCCGTCGCGCTCAATGAGAGCTTGTACAAAGGTGAGCGACTGCTCCAGGGCGTAGGTGTCCCGTGAGCAGGTGTCCAGGATCCGGGCGCCCAGCGTCACGTTGGGTAGCAGCTCTGGGTCTTTGTTGATAAGGTCGATGGCAAACAGCATTGCCTCCAGTCTGTGAATACCCTTCTCCTTCTTTAACTCTCCGCAGGGAACGCCACGCTCACCCCGGGAATGAACCGGGAACAGGCCACCCAGGATTATGTCGCCATCCAGACGGATAGAGTGGGCGTATTCAATGGGTGGCGTCTCCAACTTTTGGAGAGAGACTGGTAACCAGTAGCATAAGAAGAAGAGGAGCTGGTACTGAGTCCGAATTAAGCGTACAAGATCCATATCCACTGGGTTGTTGGGGGGCAGTGTCAGAAAGTGTAGGAAATCTCCAGGTAATGGGATTGAGGACTAACGGGGAAGCAGGTGGACAGGGACATCCATTCCCATTTCAAAGCTGAAGTCGAGCATCTTGACCATTTAGGCCACTGGGGGACAAACGCCTGGTGTGCATGTCATGTGACTGGTGATATAAGAAGATGCGAAAGACGTCAGTGCCTCCAAAACTCTCACATCTTCAGAAGCATCTAAATAAAAGAAAACATTGTGTAAGTGGCTGCACAAAGAGAAATCAAACATGAATCAGACACGAGCAACAAAGCAAACTCATCAAACACACGGACATCTTGACAGAAAGGAAATTACATCACAGTCATTTGGAGCTCAGTGTGGTCTTTCATTTCTGCCTCATTGAATAAACAACAAAATCAAGGCCTCTTCCCTCACATTTGCATAGGCAACCGAAGACATTTCGCAGCAAGAGGAAATGTGTCTATTTGCGGACAATAGAGCTGTCGGGTTGATGTTTACACTTCAGCTTGTGGATCGGAGAGTAATCAAGGTGAGTTATGACAGATAGATCTTCACAACAGTTCTTTGTCAAGATGCACATATTTAGACTTTTGGGGAAATGGAGATATTCAGCAATCATTTTGATGTTAATGTTTAATTATATTATAAACTAAAAAGTATTTTCCCTTTAAATAATTTTTAATAATAATAATAATAATATCAGTACAGTCACCGATGTATTGTGTGTTCTTAAAAATGTGGGGTGATTTCAAAAATAAAGCATATATATATACAGTCATACCAAATATTATTCAGACACCTCGCTATCCTAACTTACATAAATGACCTATAGTGTCCTGCTGTACCCACTAGTAAAAAGAAAAGAAAAAATTCTATATGGTGTCTGGATAATTTTTGGTTTGACTGTATATATACACCACACTTGCCTCCAAAACCAAGGTAGTTCATTTACACTGTTGTTGGCACACATCAGGCACCTAAAACATTTCAGAGAGTCGAGACAGAGAGAGCCTCTTGTGAAACACCTCCACATCTCCACTAGAATGGAGAGCCATCGTTTGATTACGCGCAGTTACGCACAGCCTCGCGCTTCCGAGAGAGAGAGAGACACACACACACACACACACGCACGCTGCGCAATCTGCCGCCTCCGTGCGCCAAGAGCGTCACTCCACACCGTAAAGGAAGTCCACTGCACACTTCTCAATAAGATTGTGCTCTCCTGGTGAGCCACTAATGCCACTGAAATCCCCGCACTAACCCAGACACTGTGGAAAGATCGCCTCATTATTCCTGGATCTTACTGTGAACTTTAGAACCTTCAAGAGAACATTCGAAATGTTCTGTTTTAGAACAATGACTATCTGTTCTAATTGCTTCTCTTGTTCTGACGCTGTATTTCTCTATTCTGTTTTCTGTTCTGTTCTATTTTATATGATCTGTTAAACATGATCTCCAGTCATCTTTGGGGAAGACTGCGCATTCGTTTGAAAATGCATTTGCATATACGATGGTCTATGCATAATTGGATTTGTTTCAGCCTAATATTCTTCTAGTTTGCACGGATTCATCTCTTTGAGAGCTCAGGTCTTCCCTCTCTTCTGCCGTTATTCCAGACACAGATGGAGTTATTACCCTGGCAGTCGCAGAGTGTCCCATTTCTCTTTTTAATTTACACGAATCAGTATGTGTCAAGCAGAACCATCTTATATTTCCACCAGGAGAACCTGTCTCGTAGGAATCCAAAGCTCTCTCAACTGTAGTTGAAAAAAATAAAAAATACAATCGCGTGCCATTGAGAGTTTTGAGTCTGTTAATGCAATTCAAGAGAAAGACACGAGACGTTAGTTATAAAATTCACATTAAGCACGCACATTTCTGATTCATTTCTGAATTTATAACACACATCATGAGTATGAATCAGCATGCATGCGTGTGCATTTACGCACATTTCTTGGATGCAATGCAATGATTCACACACTGTAATCAACACAGCCTCTGCATTCTCCTTCATGTCTTAAACATCCAACGTCTCAATAAAAGCGCAACTATTGCGTCTAAAACAATAAAGTGCTGTTAAGTGAACATTGTCATCTTAAAAACAAGTGAGCTAAACAGAAACAACTGCAACATTCCTGTGGGTCTCAGTAACACAATAAAACACAAGTTATATGTTTGATCACTGACAGTTTTCGCGCTCAAAAGATTTCCATGATCAACATTCCAAACAAAGGAACGAGCAGATCATATTTTCTCCTAGATTATTATACTTGCAGTATAAAAGCAGTATTTTAAAACACACTAAGATGGAAGTGCAGTAGATGTGAGATCTTACCTTCTCTCTGCCCTCAGATGCTGGTTTGTGGTGCTGAAATGAACAGCGCATCACCAAAATCCTCTCTCTCTCTCTCTCTCTCTCTCTCTCTCTCTCTCTCTCTCTCTCTCTCTCTCTCTCTCTCTCTCTCTCTCTCTCTCTCTCTCTCTCTCGTGCATCACATGCAGTCTTAAATTAAGCATGCTCTCATTTCAGAAGGAAAATGCACAGGATGGTTTCCTCGGAACGATTAAGGAAACACCCACTCTTGCGCACACAAAAAAAATTGATGCAGAAGTGCAGAAATAGTTGAAGATCGGAGAGAATAAATGCAGGAATGTGAAGAAAGATTCTAACGTTATTTTGGATTGACTTGAAATAAATATAATTTATATCTACAGAAACTGCATTAACACGCATTTCAGTTTATAGTGTCAATATTATGATGTCTGGTGGTGTCATCTAACGCATTATTTTTGGATGTACTCTAGTTCAATATATTGATTTAATGAGTGTGAATGCAAACAAGTAGCCTAGTTTCAAACACTTCAGCATGCAAAGCCTACTATAGGCTACTAATTTATTCAGTCGTTATTTTGACCACAGCTGCAACTAACTAAAGCCACATCTGAATAAATTGAACTTGCATTTTAAAACAGAATTTTTTTTTTTTCGGTGTCAGCTTTGGTTGCCATATCCTTCAACAGCTGGTTTATAAATAGTGCACTATTGCCCTCTAGTGGTGTCAAAAACACTTGCTCACTCATGATTCCCAAACTACTCAGCAGAACCTCAAATATTCACTACTGCACTCTTTGGGATTTAAAATAATATTTTAGCCTTTCTATAATCAATAATACATGTATATGCATATATAGAATGAGAGTGAAGTGTTAGATAGGCTAATTTTAATTAAAAAGAATCCTGTTACATGAGAATGCAAAATGCCTTTAAACTTCACTTAAAACTTGTTTTTATTATTTGAGCCAAAGAAAGAAAGAAAAAAACAATGCATATGCTAATTTTCTCTGTTTATTGTTGGTCAATACAAAGAAAAAAAAAAAAAAAAAAAAAAAAATTTATTATACAGTTCAATATCCGTCAAGCCTCCAGAAGTTAAACAGATAAGCACAGTGAATGCATATGAAGACCTGTTCACATTTTTTTTTTTTTTGTAAAATGTGAATAGACGAATGAAGAGCGTAAAATAACATAAGAATCTAAAACTGATAGCATACGAATTAATGAGAGAACTGCAGGAGGACACATTTAAACAGATCTCATATAAAGTGCTTCACCTGCAGTTCACACAAGCACAACTGCTCCTCTTCCCCAGAGCATGTGCTTGTTCAAGCATAAAACATCCCTTTCCCTTAATATAACTGAAGCGGAGTCTGAGCTCCTGCCGTTCCAGTGGTCTTCAGTGTCCGGTGATGGAGAAGAAACACATCCAGATGTTGTCACTGAATACAATGAGCCTGATGGGAGTCAATAGCCAGCGTTCAGCGGCCGAGTGCAACAAGAGCATGTGTGTCTTGAAGCTCCGCCTGAGGCCGGTTCACTACAACTGGACCCTGGAACAATCGCCTGGACGTTTTTGGACAGAAATGTCAAATCTTATTGATGTCAGCGGGGGAATAGACGTATATATATTTCCTCTTACATTCGAGAGAACCCCTCATAAACAGATACCAGAGCACAGCTGAAAATACTGTACCGTTACATTCACCAACGTGTGTTTGGGACGACGGAAAAGCCCCTAAAAGCCCAAACACACATTTCTGAGGGTTTCTTACACCCTACTAACTGTTGAAAGTCTTTGTTGTACAGCACTGGGCTTTTCTTTGTCACTTTCACTGTCCAGTACGTCCTTCCACCGTCGCTGCCAGAAGTCCAGATCGCTGCCAGAAAACGTCTAATAAAGAGAGACAGGAGAGTTAGAAAGAGACACCAAAACAGTATGATAGAAAGTTATCATGGTAAAACCATATTTTTATGGGCACGTACTATAGTAATATCATGAAATTTGAAGTGTCTTGGAGTTCCTTGTAAGTTAAATCATGGTCAGTTAAGTCCTATATTATTTTGTCTGAATAAATAAAAAATTAAAGTTTATAAATGATACAAGTGAATTTAGGCATCACAACACTATAACGTACAGAACTGAAAATAATTCATATTCATTTCGAGATTTTCTAAAGATTATACTTAGTGTTATTTAATTATTGTTCCTTTCCCCTTTTCTAATGCTCACTTAAAGTTAATCTAAATATAAGAGAGGGACAATCAAAATGAAATATTGAACAATACTGATAAATTAAATGTATATAATATAATATAATAAGTGTTGGGTGTAATGCATTACTAAATAGTCAAGTACTGTAATTGATTTTCTCTTGAAAGTAAGGGATTACTCTTCATTTTTCAGTAATTTAATTCTAGTTACTTCTGATGTAATTGCATTATACTGTATAGACTCAAACAATTCTATTTAAAACGCATTGAATTGACAGAATTATAGGAGCCGTTTCATCTCTATCCTTGTATTGTTCAACTGGTCGAGGTTGATGGGATTTAGAAAGTAATAATTAAAGAAAGACTTTTTAGAGCGAGTAATTGGTACAGTAACTTTTTGAAGATGTAATTGTGTATTAGTTGTTAGTAATTAAATTACTAACTAGTTTATTCTTACGTAACTAGTTTATTGCTTAAGTCACTAGTTTATTGCTTAAGTCACTAGTTTATTCTTACATAACTAGTTTATTGCTTAAGTCACTAGTTTATTCTTACATAACTAGTTTATTGCTTAAGTCACTAGTTTATTGCTTAAGTCACTAGTTTATTCTTACATAACTAGTTTATTGCTTAAGTCACTAGTTTATTCTTACATAACTAGTTTATTGCTTAAGTCACTAGTTTATTGCTTAAGTAACTAGTTTATTGCTTAAGTAACCAGTTTATTGCACAAGTCACTAGTTTTCTGCTTAAGTCACTAGTTTATTGCTTAAGTCACTAGTTTATTCTTACATAACTAGTTTATTGCTTAAGTCACTAGTTTATTGCTTAAGTAACTAGTTTATTGCTTAAGTAACCAGTTTATTGCACAAGTCACTAGTTTATTGCTTAAGTCACTAGTTTATTCTTACATAACTAGTTTATTGCTTAAGTCACTAGTTTATTGCTTAAGTAACTAGTTTATTGCTTAAGTAACTAGTTTATTGCACAAGTCACTAGTTTTCTGCTTAAGTAACCAGTTTATTGCTTAAGTAACCAGTTTATTGCTTAAGTAACCAGTTTATTGTGTAAGTAACTCTGCCACATGTGGACTGGGAGCAGCTGGTAATCCAGCCTTCATGTGTTTTCCTGTTAGATGTACTGACTGCAACCCAGAGACAAACACCAGGACTGAGACCCAAAGGAACAAGTGAAATGCTAACTGTCAGAGTGACATATGGACTTCCACCACGGGGAGAAAATGGAGCATTAACTGGGAAAAAGCAAGTCAAGAATGGTCATGGATACCCAAGGCAACTCCGTCACCCTTACTTGATGATCAGAGAGCTTCTCTCGTCTCTCGGGTCCTGTGACAGAGCAGTGTGATTAATACGAGCCCTGTTTCCAAGGACACGGGTGAGTTATCTTAATTGCTTCTTAAAGAAGCCCCCCTCACCGCTCTTTAAAGCTCGAGGTGAGACGGGCCGGCCTGATTTCCGGGGCCTTGCAGTGGCATCCATGCTTCATTCTCCTGTGCTGGAAGTCCACCCTGGGATTTCTCTTATTCATTAGCAGCAAGGCTGCAGACACAATCCGCCAATCAAAGCACAATTCCTCTCTCCACACACCGCCACAACACACACACCATCTCCTTCACCATCGAAGCTCAGAGGCAGAACGAACACATGCAAGCACAGGACACAACTGCACACACACTAGTGAGCTTCCTACCTAGACAGCTCCTGATTTTGCATCAGGATAGAGCCTAAATGTAGGTAGCCGAATACTACTACCGTCTGAGATGTTTTGGCCAAATTCGAAGGAAGGAATTGCATGCATTTTTTTTTGTCAAGTATGCAATTGCAGAATGCATTGCGATGAGGTGATCAGCCTTCTGAGATGTTTTGGCCAAATTTGAAAGCAGAATTGCAAGCATTTTTTGTCAAGAATGCAATGAGGAGATCGGCATTTTGAGATGTCTTGGCCAAACACAAAGGCAGAATTGCATGCATATTTGTAGGGGATGCAATTGCAGAATGCATTGCGATGAAGTGATCTGCCTTCTGAGATGTTTTAGCCAAATTTGTCAAGAAAGCATTGCAAGAGCTATGAGAAAGTTGGTGGACAAAGCAGAGAAATAAAGTATTGTGTAAATAACCTGCTGTTTGTGTGGGCTATGTGTGCCAAATTGCAGCATCGAGTTTGCGTGGCATGTTGACTCATTAGGAGATGCACTCACCAAAGCATGACCTTCGATCTTGTTCTGATCCCTGCGCTCCTCGCGGTGGTCTTTAGATGGCTTCTCTTGTGTAACCCTAGGTACCTTGCCTTTTTAAAGCTCTGTCCACAGGTGTTGCACACGTGCAGAGACTTCTTATTCACACTCGCTTTTGGGCTACTGGCCTTCCCTTTTTTGCTACTGGTTCCTTTCCCAGTAGTCTTCAAGGTCTTGCGCATTACGCCAGGTGCTTTCAGGTTCCTGCGTGTCGGATATGGTGAAGTGTGGTTGGGGTGGACTTTCACTTCTTCTTGACCTTGATCTTTCACGTCTTCTTTGTTCAACACGACCTCCGCCGGCTTCTTGACGGCGTGGCTCTCCAGCGACGACGAGATCCGGCAAATGTAGGAGGACTTCTTCTTGTGAAAGTCCGAGAGATGGCGAAGCACGTCTCTTTTGCGGCGTGTCTTGTAACGGCAGAGCGGACAGCTGTAAAACTTGACAAAGAAGTCCGTGCCGTTGTCCGTGTGCAGCTCGATGTGTTTCTCCAGGTTTTGCACGGAGCTGAATGAACGTTTGCAGAGCTTGCAGAAGCGCGACTCGAAGTCAAAGCCCACGGAGATCCCGGCTTTGGACGGCACCTTGTCCTCTTTAGGGCTCTGGGAGTTGCAGGAGGAGCCGGGACTGTCTGGAGCTTTCCCGTTGACCATTTTCTTGGATTCGGACGTGGGATCAGTGGAGCTGGTTGAGGAACCGGAGGATATAATCTTGTGAACAGTTTGCAGGTGTCTCTTAAGGTGACCTCGAACCTTGTATGTCCTATTGCAGAGGAGGCATCTGCAGGAGTCCGAGTCTTCTTCCATTGGCTCATCCTGATGCTCCATGTTTTCCTCTCTTTTGTCCATGTTCTCTCCTTCATCTGCGTCCTCAATGCAATTCTTCTCCGCTTCATCTAACCGGACCTCCTCTGTGTCGGAGGGGTCGTGTCTCCAGCTCTCTGTGCTCGTGTGGTTGGGACTCTGGGATGAAGGCGGCAGGTCATCTTCTCTCGACAGGTACTGGTACACGGCATTCTGGTTGCTGGCAATGGGCTCAAATTTCAGGACGTATTCCTCTTTATCTGAGCAGGAATAGATGGCTTCAATAAGTTCTTGCATGCTTTTTTTGTCATCTCCAGAGGGGTCTAGAAGACAAACCGGAACTAGATGTTAGTTAATGGGATCGTATCATGGAAAACAGCTTTTTTTATATTAAATTTAGAAATACTATAACTACACTAGATACCTCAGACCATTTGAAACTAACCTGCAAAAATGAGTTCAGAAGATATCAAATTCAGTTATAACATCACAACCAGGGTAAGAAATTAACTTTTCTATGAAATTGTAATTGATTTACAGGAGCATTTTTTAATGTTGTAAGAGCAATTTTAATAATTACATTATTAAACATATTAGGGTTGTCTTTTGTGTCAAATTCTTATATTTATTCAGTTGATTCAATTGATCAGAACAGGCGTGTAACCAATAAAATGTTAAAGGGGTCATATAATGGTACATGCACTTTTACAAGTTGATTGTACTGAAATGTGTGTTGGCAGTGCCTGTACACAACCATCATATAATGATAAAAATCCATCCAGTGTTTTTCAAATCAAGCCGTTCGACCTTGTGACGTCACACGCTCGGAAGCCCCTCCCACGATTGTTGATTGACAGGGGCGTTTCAACACAGACCCGCCCTCGCTCGTGAGAGAGCTGTCAATCATAGTCTGCGCGGACCGGCGCGGTCATTGTTGATATGCTGGAGCACTGTCTATGAGCAGAATGGCGTCTAAGCGATTGTGGTGTTCTGTTCTTGGGTGCAATAACGAACACAGCAGTCATTTTAATGTTCCTGAATCCGAACCGCTGAAGACGCAGTGGCTGAGTTTTGTTTTCGAAGGGAATATTCCCCACGAGCAACGTCAATGCTCTCATGTTTGCGCGAATCATTTCACACACCAGACTGCTTTATAAACGAGGGTCAGTATAAAGCTGGATTTGCTAAGAAGCTTTGCTAAAAAGGATCGGTACCAGATATTCGTGTTCCTGCTGAATCTCCAGAAGAACGGAAGTGAGTGTAACGTTTTATTAAACTTTATATTAATATATGAATCTTTGCAAATCGCTTCACGATGAATGCGTCTAAGGTTTACACTTAGGGTACATTACGGCATATTTTCTATGTATGATGTTCTCAATATAATTCATAATCCCACGTTTATACTGAACAACGCGTTATGGTTATTGTGTCACAAACGGTGTACACACAGAACAGAGAGGCGGGGTGAGCAAAGCTCATTATCATTTAAAGGCATATGCACTGAAACGGCGTGCTGAAAACAGAGCTGTTTTTGACCATGTAAAATAAGTGTTTTCTTACAATACTAATGAGAATTTTTAATTAAAGTATATTACAAACTTTTAATTTAGACCCTAAAGAATTATATTAACTTGTACAAAAATGGCATTATATGACCCCTTTAACAACATCAACAAACGCAACAGAAGCTGATGTTTACTGAGGCTATATTCTGTTCAAAGGCGGAATAATTGCATAATGTTATGAGATTAGTGTCATTTTATACAAATTATATCAAAATTGTTTTTCAAAATAATTAAAAAACAGGAACTAAATGTAATGCATTTTCATTAATTTTCACTTTTACTTAAATCACGACGGTAGTTATGTATTGTGTAATTAATTTTGTTCAGTTTGATGACCCTTATCACAACCATAACAGGATCAACGGCATACAGTAATGCATCTAATCACACCCTGATTAATGGCGGTGTAAAATGTGTTAGTATACGCATAGTTAAAACAATCAAATTTACATATAGAAGTCTTTCTTAAAAGTGCAGTAGCACAAACACTAAATAAGATTCCACAATTAGATGCTGGAAGATAAACAGAACGGGCAGAATCACCGTCACCAAAACATAATCACGTTTTATTTCCATAAGCCAATGAAAAAAATATCATGGCAAACTCAACGCTGGTCTTTTGGAATTGAATGAACAGCAGAAAGGCGATGTTATACTAACCATCAGGTTCAGGCATTCGAGTGAAACAATAGATCTCCTTGTGCTTGATGAGATTGGGAAGGCCACGGAAGAGACTGCGGCAGAGTTTGCACTCAAAGATTGTGTCCACCTCTTTTAGGAGAATGTGTTTGAGCTGTGCAGTGCCTGCAAATAAACACAAGAGGGCAGTGTAGGAGTCATTGAGTTTCTGTGTCGGTCAAGAACATTGCTCCACATACTTTCCATTTCATTATGAAGGATTGTTCTACTATGATTATAAAGAGGTGAGGTAACACAAAACACCTGTCCGGAAACATTCAATGATCTGATGGATGCCAGATTTGGATGTGAGCAGCTGTGTTTGTAGCAGAGCAGGATCTCCAGGTTCTGTGGAATAAACTGCAACAGAAAAGCAGAGTATTTTTACAGTAAATCACAGTCACATCAAATCATCATTGCACTTAGAACAGTATTAATGCCCATTCACACCAAGGACAATAACTTTAACGCTAACGATGTAGTTTTAAAAATCATTAAAAAAAAACAAAAAAAAGGATAGCAGAGTCCAAACCACAACTATAAAGATAACGGAGCATCGTTGGAATCACTTTCAGAACTGTTTATGATGAAGAGCTTGAGCATTTAAAGCGGCAGACGACCAAACTGCAGAATAAACAGAAAAATATCACATCGCCCGGCCTTCAGATTGACGCCCCCATTCCCTACATTTCTCCTCTAATGCAGTCCAGGTCTAATGTTGAAGGACACTGACTGAGGCCCGGTTTACATCTGCTATTAAGATGCGTTTTGGATCACAAGTAGACTCATTCCTGTTTACTCCTGGTGTTTTAATCCGTCTCTTTTGTCCACTTCTGTCATGATTTCTTCGAGGTCTATGGGTGGGTATATGTAAGGGCTTTTTCAGATCTTTTCGAAATTGTAACGATGGCTGCCCCAAATCAAATTTGATTATTTAATAAATGTAAATTAAATTTAAATTGTTCAGGCGCCAGACAAGTAAAAACGTATATGTAATGAAGTTCAGTTTCCTAGGAAATACCTCAAACCACCGATACACAAAATTAATGCCTTCCAATACTTAATGACACACATTCACAGATTGAAGGGTTTCAGGCAAAAACATTTATTTAGGAAAACATTTTTCAAAAAAAAAAAAAGTTACATTTTCACAGATTTTTTTTTTTCTTTGCCTCACATGACAAATGTCGAAATAATTAATGAACACAAACAGTAAGGAGAGTTAAGGTGATGATACACAGGGCAACTTTTTGGGCAATGTTGCCCTCAACGGGCAACCAGATGAGACACAGGGCCCACGACCGATATAAATTATCCAGATATATATTTATTGCCCATTTTCAATGGGAAAGTGCCCAAGCAACAATCACTCGGCAAGATTGCCCAGCAACATTGCTCAAAAAGTTGCCCTGTGTATCATCACCTTTAGATTTCATACAAACACAAAAAAGTGTCCTTGATTCACCAATGTCTTAAAGTTCGGGGTTTTTTTTTCAAACTCAGTTTTTCGTGTTCAATTTCAACCAAAAGAAAGAAGGGAAAACTCGCACCATTTACATATGATTAACATGGAGAAAACAGAAAAACATCCAGCATTTATTTGGTGGACAGAGCTCTTCCCACAATGTTTACGCATTAGGTCAGTAGACGGTCTTTTGTTGCCGTTCATTCGACCACATGAGCGTACACCATAGATATCCATAATAAAGGCTAGATGTCTCGTCCGCGCTGCTGGCCAATGGAGGTGGACGTCCGCACTGGCGGCCATCTTGTCACAGGCAGCTCGCTCACTCTAACATTGTGTTTTAATGGTGCGTGTACTTTTTAAATAACCATAACTTGCTCAATTTTCTACCGATTTTCAAACGGTTTGCTTTGTTATAAACGTCAGAGATGTAGTTATGACACTGCATACTTATGAATAATAAGTGTATAAATAAATAATCATCCAGAATTATAGCCACGTTAATAACGTTTGGAAGAAACCAAACCGTTTGTAAATCCGTCAAGATTTCACCGAGATAAGAGTATTTGTGTTCGTGCTGATCACTCATCTTACATCAGGCACCACAGAGCCCGCCAGAACACTTGCCTGTGACAAGATGGCCGCCGGTGATGATGATAGAGACTCAGTTTCAAAACTACAGAAGAGTCAAGTTTTAAATAGGAAAAATATCGAAACTCTTTGGTCATTTTTTTTTTTTAGAAATGCTAATGGTCTTGTCCACTTCAATGATGTATGCTAAGCTATGCTAAAAGTGGTACCGCCAGAACCGGAGATCGGCTGAATGGATTCAAAAACGGTAAAACTCAACAGTTTAACTCTGGGGGAGTTGTAAAATGAGCCTATTTCCAAAAAAAGTGGAGTATCCCTTTAAGTCCGCCTTAACATTCTGGTCCCGGATGCCACGATATCTCTGGTTGTAATCAATCCTTCACTGACCAATCAGCGTCCATTAGCAGAATGCTAGCGTGTTATGGGCAACAACAACTCAACCTGTTAGAAATCAAAAGGACATAAGTACTCGTTCATTCAACTTTGGACCTATAACTCATGTTGAACTTGCAAAACCTACAATCAAATCTGAGATTTCTCAACGGCAATCGGGTGAAAGAGACAAATTTAGCCGTCTAGCTCCATAGACTCCCATTCATTTTGCACTCGGACGATCGCCCCCAGTGGAGCTCTGGTGGAACTACAACCACAATTCGGTACAATAGGACTTAATAGGGAGTGGCCAGGCTTATTAAACGGTCTGTACACTTACAAAGTTGTCAATGCTTCGGTTCGCATTATGCTACCGTGTTCGTGTGGGGCTATTTTGAGCCTTGTTAGTGGTATTAACTAGCGATTTCTTTTTACTTATTCTATGCCCTATATACTAGAATTATACGCTAAACAGATTTTAGAGATTAAACTCTTTACATTCGATTATCATGAAAATAAATCCCAGAGAACGGTTGACTCGGTACCAATGTGTTATTAGACCAAAGGTTCATTTTGCGCCGGAGTTGTCCTTTAATACCAGGTGTAAACAGGGAAAAGAAAAGAAAGTGTGATGCAAATGAATGACGTCCTTCCTTTGCATCACAGAAAACACCCAATGAATCAAGTGCCTCAGTTATAATACTGCCTATCTCTCTTATTAACACTTACGACAGGCTGAATCTCTTGAAATAATTCTCCCCAGACAAACTCATTATTCAGAAATGATGATCTGAAGTCTAGTTCGCTGTGCTCACGGATGGCAGATCTCACTGATATGAATCATATCCATTCAGAGGTTCAGCTTGTGCTTTCTAAATGAGACTTTATTAAAGTCTGCATTATTGATGGCCGCCGCTGCCACTGTCTAGATGAGTGTTTGCGAAAGTGTCTGGCTCTGAAACAAAAGCCTTGATTTAACACGCATTTTTCCACTGGATAAATCGGATCATATCTCTTACGTTTGCCAATATTTCACGGTTGTGATTAATGAAGCGCTAGTTTGTGGAGAACATTACAGAGCACACAGGTGAAACTCGAAAAATTTGAATATCGTGCAAAAGTTCATTTATTTCAGTAATTCAACTTAAAAGGTGAAACTAATATACTATATAGACTCAATACATGCAAAGTGAGATATTTCAAGCCTTTATTTGTTATCATTTTGATGATTATGGCTTACAGCTTATGAAAACCTTTTTACAATATTCTAATTTTGAATTTGGGGTTTTCATAAGCTGTAAGCCATAATCATCAAAATTATAACAAATAAAGGCTTGAAATATCTCACTTTGCATGTAATGAGTCTATATAATATATTGGTGAAACTAATATATTTTCGAGTTTCACCTGTATTTCTGTATATATAATACAGAAATATATATAATATAAACTAATATATTATATAGACTGCTGTGAGTGAGATATTTCAAGCCTTTATTTGTTATAATTTTGATGATTATGGCTTATAACGTATGAAAACCCCAAATTCAAAATTAGAATATTGTAAAAAGGTTTTCATAAGCTGTAAGCCATAATCATCAAAATTATAGCAAATAAAGGCTTGAAATATCTCACTTTGAGTCTATATAATATATTAGTTTCACCTTTTAAGTTGAATTACTGAAATAAATTAACTTTTGCGAGTTTCCCCTGTACTTTTATTAGTGGAGTTTGCAAATAACACTAGTATTATTATTGCTCAAACTTAAGGTTGTATTATCGTGGGGGCGAGTTTAACAAACAAAACCCCGTTTTCTTTCAAATCTAGAGATGTAGCGCTGATCTAAAACGAGCATTTTCCGTCACTAGAGCTATAAGGGAACAGATACACAGTGCGAGACAATAACTCTTCACTACATGAGGAGGTGGAAAATCAATCGTGTGTAAAATACGGGGCATGAACACAGCTGTGGATAAAGCGAGCAAATCAGTCAGAGATTGATGATGGGGATGCTGGGGAATTTATGGCTGGAACCCAGCGGTGTGTTTAGAGAGGTCCTCAGAGACTCGCCTTATATTGCAGGTGTTTTATGTGTGTGTGAGGGATTTTCCTGGAGGAATGGCTGGAAATCTGCCAATATAAGGACCGCTAGGAGGAGGTGGCCGTCTACAATCTGCACTTCAACACCACTGACTGATGCTTTGGGTTTGATGGCCAGTTTCCACTGGACCGTTCAGTCTGTACATTACAGCCCAAAGGGGCCAAATTTAGCACTTGTCAAATGGTAGGTGAGAGAAAAATTGGTTTTGGCTGGTAAACAACACTTGATTGACTCACTAGTTGCCTGAAAGTAGTACATGACAGGGTTGTTATTGTTATAACTATAAGTTAAACTATTAAAAGTCGGTTTTCTGTAACTGAAATTAAGCTGAAATAAAAGAATATATTAATATTAGATGATATTAGTTTTGTTGGGCAACTAATAAATCTGAATAAATAAATAACTATGTTAAAAAGTGAATTACTAAAACTTTAAAATTAAAAATAAATGCTAATTCAAAATATAAAAAAATAAACTAAAGTAATAGAAATGCCAAAAACATAAACATTACTAAAGGTTAAATTATAATGAAAACAGAAAATATAAAGCTAATTTAAAATGTTAAATAAAACACAAAAAAAATTAAAATTAAAATGTAAAATTATAATAAAAAATGTTAAATTATAAAACCGAAAATATAAACGCTAATTCAAAATATCAAATTTAAAAAAGTAAATAAAAAATACAATTACAAAAGCACTAAACAAATTTACTAATTTAAATGAAGTACTCAAATTACTAAAATTTTAAAATAAAAGCTAATTCAAAATATTTAAAAATAAACAAAATTAATAGAAATGCCCAAATATAACAAACATTACTAAAGCTTAAATTGTAATGGAAAGGGAAAATATAAAAGCTAATTCAAAATGTTAAATAAAACACAAAAAATTGACCAAATAAAAAAATTATAATAATTTAAAAATTATAATAAAACTGAAAATATAAAAGCTAATTCAAAATATCACATTTAAAAAAGTAAATTAGAAATAAAATTACAAAAGCACTAAACAAATTTACTAATTTAAATAAAGTACTCAAATTACTAAAACTTTAAAATTAAAAATAAAAGCTAATTCAAAATATTAACAAATAAACAAATCTAATAGAAATGCCAAAAACATAAACATTACTAAAGCTTACATTATAATTAAAACGGAAAATATAAAGCTAATTCAAAATGTTAAATAAAACAAAAAAATGACAAATAAAAAAAATAATAATAAAACTTTAAAATCATAATAAAACCGAAAATATAAAAGCTAATTAAAAATATCAAATTTAAAAAAGTAAATAAAAAATAAAATGACAAATGCACTAAACAAATTAACTAATTTGAATATAAAAATAAAATATTAATCAGCACTTTAATACAGCAGTATATAAATAATATTAAAATAACACTGCTGAGATCATTCAAGGGAAATGAGCTAAATGGAAAATACAAAGTGGAAAAACACTTTGGAAAAAAAAAGTTATTTTTCTTTGGTTTTCAAAGAAAACAGTCGTACTATTAGTAGAAAAAGAATGTAAACAGGAAGTAAAACTGCTATATCCTATCGCTTGCACATAAAACTTAAGCCCCTCCCCCCCATGCACACATCATCACATGGGCGTGGCCTCTTGACCTCCCACTATAACAGGGGCAAAGAGCAGACCAATCAATGTTAATGTTTCACCCTGTGTGTGTGTGTGTGTGTGTGTGATGGGGCGTGACCTCACCTCTGTAAGGGTCACAGACTCTAGTGGCCCCTACTGAGTGAAGGACAATAGCAGGCACTAGAGGAATTTGCTGTAATCCTCTAATGGGGAAGGATCAGAGCGGATGGGCCGCTATTAAAATGCATTCGGATTATGTCCATTCATGCGGACAGGTCAGAATGGATCCTATTGGTCAAGTTAAAATGCGTGTCACAGATGACATTCGCATGTATTATTCATTTAAGATCCGAAAAGTGAAAGTTTACCTAGCGTCTTGCTCGCATGGTCAGGCCCGGGCACAACGGCCTCACCTGTGATGTCATCCGTCTGGCAAGACTTCTCATTGGCTGGGGTCGAGTGGGTTTCCTCCATCTCTAAAGCTCTTCAGATGTGCCTCTGTGGAGACGGAGAGAACAGCAGATCAATGAGCAGTGACTCCAAACTCTTAACTGTGCTGAAGAGATACTGACAAACACCTCGAATACAGCTGGAAAGACCAAGGACAGTGATCAGAGACACATGTTTTTTAAAGAAGGCTTTTTTGTACACACACACACACACACACACTCACCCGACCCCTACACCTACCCATCTCACACACACACACACACACACTCACCCGACCCCTACACCTACCCATCTCACACAAACACACACACACACACACACACACACACACTAACCCGACCCCTACACCTGCCCATCTCACACACACACACACACACACACACACACACTCTCTTTGTGGGGAGTGTAATACTTTTTATACTGTACAAACTGTATATTCTGTCCTATTACACTAACCCGACCCCTACACCTACCCATGACACACACACACACACACACTAACCCGACCCCTACACCTACCCATGACACACACACACACACTAACCCGACCCCTACACCTACCCATGACACACACACACACACACTAACCCGACCCCAACACCTACCCATGACCCACACACACACACTAACCCGACCCCTACACCTACCCATGACACACACACACACACACACACTAACCCGACCCCTACACCTACCCATCACACAAAACTTTCTGCATTTGTAATAGTACATTTTCAAAAAAACTCATTCTGCATGATTTATAAGCTTGTTTCCTCACTTTAGGTTCACAGTGACACGAGTCCCCATGAGTGTGTGTGCATTCAGGTTTAAGTCCCCACTGGGATAGAAAAACATGTACACACACACACACACGCACACTCTCTCTCACACACACAGATATATAAATGTATAAACATATTAGCAAAAGGGTTTCATTTGATTGATTAGATTTGCGAAAATATTATATACTTGTGTATTTTGCATGGTAAATTTGTGCAGTGTTGGACGTCGGTTTGGATAACAGCATGTATTGAATCAATAAATGTCAGTTTTATGTAACTATAATTATTAAATTGCATGTATAATGCTGAATGCATGTTCATTAAATGTAATTACGGTTTACCAGTCTATATGCAGTGTCCTTTATAATGCATGTTGTTTATAACGATTGCAACTATAATTTATGTTTGTTTCATTCCTGTTCTGAACGGCAATAAATTAAAGGATTTCTTGTGGAATGAGGGAAACTAAAATACATGTTCATAATGTTTCGTATTTATTAGCTTGAATTTTACATTATTTATAAATGTATAAACACACTTGTGACTTATCTGTGGGGGTTTTCAATTTGTATGGATTTTTATTGCATCTGTCAGATGTTTGTTCATCATAACTTTGCTTTAACGCACTGAACATGCATCTGCCTCTTTATCTCCATCCCTGTCTACTTCACAACACTTCCCTTTGCTTTTGAATTACAAATATCGGTTGTATAAGATCCTAAACACACACACACTAACAGTAAACCCTCAGACTGAAGCCCATGTAAAGAGAGCCATCAAACGCCACTCACTGACACAATGTTATTGAAATGTGGCAGCAATTGACAGCGTAATGTTATAAGATGAGTGCTTTTTCATGGCGTGATGATCTCAAACTACTTATACTGATAAACCGCTGGTCTGATATAACTAGCTAAATGGAAACAAACAAACAAAATCTCTCAAAAAGCCCCCACACATGTAAAAATAAGAAAAATAACAATAGAACTGGAATTTCTTTCAAATACATGAGGATCAATTTAAAGTGGAATGTCTAATCTGTTCTTTTCCTCATAATGAAAGTGAATATCGATCATGATTTTCAATTAATCAATTCAGGTCAGTTTCTCAAACCAAGCTGTGCAACACGAGAACGCTTGCAATACAACAAACAAATCATACACACACTACATTTATGATGTTTTATGGTGCTCTTTTTGTCATTTTTTGAGTTTAAAAGCCACTTTCACTGTATGTAAATGAGCAGCAGGGACATTCTGCTAAACATCTGCTTTTGTGTTCCACTGAAAAACAAACGTCATACAAGGTTTGGTTTCTCTAAGTGTCGCCCTCTGCTGGAGTTTGGTTGAAAAACAACAACAAATGTTCTCAGTTTTGACTATAATTAAAGGTTGATCCTTAAAAGTAAATAAAAGCCACTTTTTTCCAGACAGACAGACAGACAGACAGACAGACAGATAGACAGATAGACAGATAGACAGATAGACAGATAGACAGATAGATAGATAGATAGATAGATAGATAGATAGATAGACAGACAGATAGATAGGTAGAGAGGTAGAGAGGTAGAGAGGTAGATAGACAGATAGACAGATAGACAGATAGATAGATAGATAGATAGATAGATAGATAGATAGATAGATAGATAGATAGATAGATAGATAGATAGATAGATAGATAGATAGATAGATAGATAGATAGATAGATAGATAGATAGATAGACAGACAGACAGACAGACAGATAGATAGATAGACAGATAGGTAGAGAGGTAGAGAGGTAGATAGACAGGTAGATAGACAGGTAGATAGTGACCATTCTATAATAGATTTACTAAAGTGTACTTCACACTTTTTCCAAAGAATAAAAAATAGAAAAATTCATTTTGTATTTCAATGAAAATTCAATAACAAAGATCATACCAAACTTAGTACTTTATGAAACAACTGAGAAAAAAATTCTAATATCAAAATTCATTGGCAGCTAACTTATCGATCGATTTCTGCATTAAACGTTCATGCTTAATTAAATGTTTTGATATACGTTTTTTAATAATCGGCCTTTATCACAGTCCGCGTGTCGTCACATCCGGCTCCGGTTAGCAGCGTGAAGGAATTTCCACCTTTGAATTATGATTAACCGTCACCCATTATTGTCTACAATATAATGCTATGCAATCATTGCACTCAAACATGGACGATTAAATAATCGTCTATGGGCTGGAAATATTCCTTTATTTAAACAACTTCAAATTGATCTAATTATTAATGATTGCAGTGTAAAGTAAGCGCATGGAAAAAATGCGAACATCATTGTTTAATATAAGATTTCCCCAAACCTTTAATCCTCCCAAAATAGACTTTAGTCATGATTAATATTTAAAACTTTGTCTAATTCTAATGCTCTTTAATGTAATATGGTGTTTGTTTTACAGTCTATATGTTTGTACTGTATTCTTTCAGTTCTGTGATAAAATAAGGGGATGAGACTGAAGTATTGCGCATATACGTACGAAATATGCATCTGAATACCATGACACGTTTTTCACAATACTCAATTAATGATTGTAAACTAAAGTTGGTGTCTTTAGAAGAAGTATCTGTTCTAAATGTTACACTTATAAAACAACAATCGCGTACTATTGGTAACGCATTACAAGTAACATTAGTTATGTAATCAGATTACTTTTTCAAGTAACTAGTAATGCATTACTTGTGGATTTACAACACAATATCTAAGTTACGTTTTAAATTAGTAACTCGAGTTACTTTGTTTTCCCATGTATTGACGGACAGCTCTCCTGTCCTCATGTTGAGAAGAATCGTGAGTAAAACGTGTGTGTTTATTGTAAATCTAGACTAAATGTGAACAGGCATTTACTCATCTCACTTGCACAAAAACAGATTCAGTATTCCTAAAAATGAATAAAAACAGTGCAACAAACTCATAATAATGCATTGCAAACCTGCAATAATTAAAATGTTAAATAACACAAATATACTTTATGTATTTAATCTCACTTTATTAACCAATGTCTTTGCTGCTGACCTTCAATGGTCCAACTGAACCATAGTAATAAGCAAAAATGACTTTAGATAAACATCGCATTTGTGTTTCACATAGACAGTAAAAGAAATGGACAGAGCGATCTCATTGGAACTCAGTTGAGACAGTTGAAGCCCACTTTTAGCGATTTTTGAGAACTTCCGTTCCTGACGCGCAGACTCAGACCGACTCAAACTAAGCTTGATGACGTGAGCAACCTGTCTGACAGACGTGAATCTTCTAGTAGCTGTGCGTGAAAATTGCCAACGTTAATCTTGCAGAGACGGGGAACTTGAGCAAAGAGTCCTTTATCGTGAGTGAGCAGGATTAAGTATTCCGTTGCTTTTATGGACTCATTATCTATGGGCTTCTCTCTTGACGGGACGTCCCCCCGATTGCCTGCGAGCTTCTCCTGCTGTCTGTACGGTAATTTCTGTACAGCGCGACAGAGAGTCGAGTGGTTATGACGCAATCGTTAGCCTATTTTTACTAAAACTGTTTCTACGGGGCCATAATGTAACATAGAAGGTAATGGAGCCATTTATACATTGTCGTGTTTCTTTAGAAATAAATAATGGACAAATGGAGTCTTTAAACGCCTCAGATGTAAAGTTATTCGCTGTCAAAGTGACGCCAAAATGAATGGTAGTCAATGGAAATGCTAACGCAAGTGAAGTTCTGCTACAAGATGGCGGCACCCGGCCGGCTTCAACTTCCGGTCGATGGATTACCCCCTTGGTGTTTCACTATTTTGCTGAAGTTGAACTTTCTTCTCCTGCGCCCTCTTCTGATGAACAGCTGAAGGTTTGTTTGAGTTGCGCCCTCTACTGTACAGGCGTGAACTTGCATTTCCTTCAGCCTGAGGTTTATTCATTTCTCTTTTGGTGTGAAAGGGCCCTTAAATTTGCCAAAAACAGTACTTTATTTATTGTTTACAAATTCACGTAATGCCTTACTTTCCATAAAAAGTAACTAACACCATTTAGTTACTTTTTAGGGAGGGTCACACAATATAGTAATGCATTATTTTTATAAGTAACTTTCCCCACCACTTGTCTTTACATCACGTTACGTCTGCCTATTCTCTAACATGTTCAGTCAAAATCTCCTGAAGACTGCCAGTCCGAAAACTCAGATGTGTGAAGTGAGTTGTTCTGCAATACTGTGCTTAAGAATGATCTTGGAGAATATGTAGCCTACAGTACTTGAGTGCTATAGAAAATAAACACTTGAAATCTTGCATTTACAGTAAGAAACCAGCTGACAATCACTTTATGAACATCTGTCTTCAAATGTCAAAAACCTATAAAATCAGCTACTGGTGAGTTTAATGCTGTTTTCATGTAGTTTCAGATTAACAACTGGTTTGTCCAAGAACCCTTTATAGTGAGGACATTTAGAAATGGTGATTAAACAAGTTGCTTTTCAACGCTTTTATTGCATTAAACTAACTTCTAAATTACTAAGTAGGAACGTTTTTGGCCGGATACTTTGACTTTTGTTTGAGTTAAAATGTTGTCACGCTAAACGGCCACTTCAACATATTTTTTCAGTATTTTTAAAACCTCAACCACAATCTGAAACTACCAGAATTCACACTGACGAGCCAGACACAAGGAAGAACCGCATACAACGCGTTTTTAAACCCACAAAGGACGATTTACGCATACGAAAAAGCATAAAAACGTAATCAAACACGGAAAATAAACTTTACAGCACTTCAACGTCCAGCCGCGCGGAACCGAACCTCAGGCACGCGCTGCGCTTTGCTCGTCATTGCGCGCGGCGCTGGAGAGCCTCGCGCCATTGCGCGCGCTCTCCTGACTCACACACGACAAATATCACAACAAAACACAAACAGTGTTGCTAACAACAGTCATCCGCATCTAATAAACTAGTTATACCTTTTAGAATCACGCGCGGAATCGAAACCGATCGTCTCTTCGCCATCCACAGGCTGAACAACAAAACCATGACGCCATTTTCTGCTAAACAACCGCGTTCGGGGAGGAAACGCGACGCTTTTGCGCGTTTAAAACGCACGTAAACCGCTTAATCAAAGGTCGCGAGGCTTAAACGAAGCTTTTAGGTGTTCTTACCGATATAATCCGCAGATTCCCGGAAGATACTTCGACTCGGTGAGCTCTTGGATGATGTGTGACGCCTCCGCGCGCATGAATGTGAGTCTCCAGCACATGCACGTGCCCTGCTGAGCAAACACTGGAGATCTATCAGGGTCCGTGACCTAGTGCTTAAAGATCCGGGCTGGACCGAGAAGCTCGGGGGTTCGAGTCGCTAGCACCAATCGACACATTTAGCTACAACATTTGATCAGACCATCACATAAACGCCAATGCAAATAAACGGACTTAAAGCAGTTTAAAAGTTTAACCATTCTAATAAAGAAAATTTCGGTGACATTTGAACTGGTTTAGAGGTCATTCCAATGGACTCAAAAAGTTTGTTTATAAATGTAAAAAAAGTTCGTTCTTTCCATATTTGTATTATTGCTTTTTTATTGTTTTAATAGCCTAGTATAAACGTTATATTAAAGTTAGGCTAATTATAAGTTATACGTACTACAATAAAGTCATGTTTCTTATTAGTATGGTTAATGGATCATTGAAGGTCAGCAGCAAAGATATTTCTTAATAAAGTGAGATTAAATGCATAAAGTATACTTTTTAAATTTAGTATATTTAATTATTGTAGGTTTGCGTTATTCTGAGTTTTTAGTTGTTTTGATTCATTTTGAGGAAAACTAAATGTGTTTTTGTGCAAGTGAGATGAGTATGCCTGTTCACATTTAGTCTAAAACTACAAATAATTACATAGTAGCCTATCGATATACGAATATGCTATTAGTAGGCTACTATATTATTATTATTTTTGAGATAATATATAAAATAAAGAGTAATAATCAATATTTAGATTAATCGAATCCGAAATTGCAAAATGTTAAAAAAAAAAAGAAAAAAGTAAGTGATTATAAGCTGGCAATGGCAAGTAAACTTCTGGCCGGTCCTCAGGGGCTATGGGCTGGGTAGTTGCGTTGCTAGGATACCACCGCCCGAGATTCGCGCGTAAAACTTGTTTATATGAGCACGTGCGTATGTATTTTATGAGCTTGTGCGCGTCAAAAGCAGCTGCAAAACTTCATAATAGAGATAGATAGATAGATAGATAGACAGACAGACAGATATATGATAGACAGTCAGATAGATGATAGACAGTCGGATAGACAGATAGATGATAGACAGTCAGATAGATGATAGACAGTCAGTTAGATGATAGACAGTCAGATACAGATAAATGATAGACAGACAGATAGATGATAGACAGTCGGATAGACAGACAGATGATAGATAGACAGATAGATGGTAGACAGACAGACAGATGATAGACAGACAGATAGATGATAGACAGATAGATTAGATAGATAGACAGTCAGATAGACAGATAGATGATAGACAGATAGATGATAGACAGACAGATAGATAGATAGATGATAGACAGTCGGATAGACAGATAGATGATAGACAGACAGATAGATAGACAGATAGATGATAGACAGACAGATAGATAGACAGATAGATGATAGACAGACAGATAGATGATAGACAGATAAATGATAGACAGACGGATAGACAGATAGATGATAGATAGACAGATAGATGGTAGACAGACAGACAGATGATAGACAGATAGATGATAGACAATCGGATAGATAGATAGATAAGATAGATAGATAGATTGATGACAGATAGATAGATAGATAGATGATAGACAGATAGATAGATAGATTCTTCTGTAAGAATAAACACTAAATAAATAAACTCTCGACACAAACACTTGAATATAAATCAAGAACGCAGGCAAGCTGGTAAGAAAAATGTATTTCTGTAACAGCTGAAATGCAAAATATCATCAAACCCGAAAATACACATCTATATCATTGAGAACACATGGGCCAACAGGACACACACTGTATAAAGGACACGGGAATGAGAGAAATGCCTCTGAGTCCAGGTATAAAAATAAGGCCTTAGAAATCTTTACAATTGTTACGGCTGGGTCACACTGAAGCACTGAAGGTGTCGCTATAATACATCTATGAACATACGCATCACGCAGGAGTAAAGGGTGGAAATAACCTCAATAACAGGGTGATTGTGCAGTGTTATGACAAACCACCTATTTAGCAATGGCATTCACTAATAATGGCAAAGTAGTAGACCGCACACATGCAACAATATCAGTAGACGAACCGGACCGATCAGACTGACTGTATGGAGAACATTACAGAATTAATTCATATTGCTTCAGGCGTTTTCCTTTAGATGGAAGCAAGCGGAGTGTCTTTCTCTTTCACAGAAAAAACCAAACTGCGCGTGTTTTTGAGATCAATGTGTAACCGAGAATGTAGCTTAATTACAATAATTCTAATTAAACCATCTGAGAGTTATAATCCATGGAAGCTTGTTTCCGCCACAGAATAAAAAATAAAGATACTTTTTTCCTCGCAATTCTGACTTTTCTTCAGAATTGCGTGACATACTCAAAATCGTGAGTTAAAGTCAGGATTGCGAGTTATAAAGTCAGAATTGTGAGTTAAAGTCAGGATTGCGCGTAAAAGTCAGAATCGCGAGTTATAAATTCAGAATCACGGGTTATAAAGTCAGAATTGCGAGTTAAAGTCTGAATTGCGAGTTATAAAGTCAGAATTACGTGTTAAAGTCACAATTGCGAGTTATAAAGTCAGAATTACGTGTTAAAGTCACAATTGCGAGTTATAAAGTCAGAATTGCGAGTTAAAGTCACAATTGTGAGGTAAAGTCAGGATTGCGAGTTATAAAGTCAGAATTGTGAGTTATAAATTCAGAATTACGAGTTAAAGTCAGGATTGCGAGTTTAAAATTCAGAATTGCGAGTTATAAAGTCAGAATTACGAGTTCTAAAGTCAGAATTACGAGATATAAAGTCACAATTGCTAGAAAAAAGTCAGAATTGTGAGATAAAAATTGTTTTATGCCGTGGCAGAAACAAGCTTCCATTGTAATCTCACTCAATTCATTGTAAAATCAGCCTAGTGAATGAAAATAAGATGAAAACAAAAATAAAACAAAAACAAAAATAAATTAAAAAAATTAAAATTAAAGAAATTAAATATACAAAATATATATATAAATTAAAATTAAAATTGCACTGCTATGCCATGGTAACATTCATTAATTTCTACAAGAGGGACGTGTGTACAATAATAATACTTCATACAGTTACAGTTCAACATTATTGATGTTCTGGTAGTACACAGTTTTTTGTGGCACTATTGGACCAAAACAAAGCCATAAGATCAATAAGAGAAAAAGGGGTTCAGATCATTAACATTACAATTGCAATCGGACTCATTCAGTTTACTTGACTGGCTTTTCTGAAAAAATATATTATTGTGTCAATAATTCTATAGAATAATCTCTAGTAATGATTGATGTGCAATGGGAAAAGGCAAAACATGTAAGGAACATCCTCTCATCCCAGGCCGTTTTCTCTCTTCGGCGTTGATGGATTGGAGAAACTCCACATGGAAGCACTTCTTCACCCATAAGAGACGGCACTGAAGGCATCCGGGTTGCTTTCTCGCTCTGGTTCGCATTGGCATCAAGGCAACACGGTATAAATCCTACATGTTTTTTTGGGGGGGGGTCACAGCAAACAAGAAGCTGGCTTTCACAGAGCGTATCGTCTTTGCAGTCGAAACAACTATACATGATTCATATATCAATACTTTCATAAATAAAAGAGTACTCAAATCTTGAAGAAAAGTGCACAAAAAAGGATCTTTACAGGAGTTCTGTCTCTTTGAATATTAATATTCTTATGCTAGCGATGAAGACCTTCTCAGAGATGAAGCTCAAATGGTAAATTATGACTAAAAGCTTTGGGAAACCTGTTTGGAAATAATCATAATTTTCTGTTTGGTGAGGTTAGTGGCGCAGAAATTACACACTTCAAGACTACTACACACTACTGAGATTCAACCATACTTTCTTTTGTAAAAATCGGTCATGATGTGCTGTAATATTTATTTTAATGCATGAGATTTTTTAAAAAGTAAGTTTTTGGAAATAAGTCTCTTTTGCTCATCAAGGCTGCATTTATTTGATCAAAAATACAGTAAATATTGTGAAATAATATTATAATTTAAAATAGTTGTTTTCTATGTGATTATATAGTAAAGTGTAATTTATTCCTGTGATCAAAGCTGGATTTTCAGCATCATTACTCCAGTCTTCAGTGTCACATGATCCTTCAGAAATCACTCTAATATGATGATTTGCTGCTCAAGTAACATTTCTGATTATTGTATCAGTGTTGAATGTGAAAACCTTGATTCTGTGCTAAATAGAAAGTATATAAATGTCACTTTTTGATCAATGCATTGCTAAATAATGTAAATAGGAAGTAAATTGAGAAGGCCTCTTTGAGAAGGTCTTCATTTCAGGTGGTTAAACACTAAAAGGTACACATATTGACCTCATGACATCTTTAAAAAATAAAATTGGCAACAGACCTCGGCCGACTGCCAATACTGGCTCACTGCGATGTACCTTTCCTCTAGAAAACTGTGGGTACATCGTCATTTCAGTTAGTATTCCTTTAAAAAAAAATATTAAATGGGACGAGCGAAGAAACGTTCGGCCCTTTCGTTTTTAGGTCTATGAAGATACATCTGACTGAGGAAGATCGAAAGCACTAAATCCTTGAACCTCTGAGAGATACTAACAATAAATACAAAAAATAATAATAATAATTATAGTAAAAGATATGTACACACATTTCCAACAATAGGGTCTCAATAATACTTAAAACTTTTGAAAATGGCATACAAATATACTTCTGCTCAACATGTGAAGCACTAATCAGGTCAGTTAGAAAATTAATAAAGATGATTAAATTATTATACAAAATTCATCACTGGTTAAAGTTGCTTTACAACATGAGTACGACTCCTGACTTTTTTAAACCCACAAAACACTTGTGTCAAAAAAAACCAAATACTCAAAAACCTAAATTCATCCAATTTAGAAAAATACAACTTGCCAAAAAAAAAAAAAAAAAGCGTGTGTAAAATATTCCCTTGGTAGTTTTTCCCCTCCTTTTGTGTAGTTCAGGCATGAAATTAAGTGCACTTTAGATTGACACGGTTGAGTCTGAAGGGGTTTCCCTCCATCCACATGAAAACCAAAATAAAACTCGTATCGCTGAATGTCTGAAACTGGTTAAATCAAAAGATTCTGAATCTGTGTGAAACTGAAGTTCGTGAATATCGTCATTTCAAAAGGAAACGAGAGATAGACTTTATCTTCCATAAAGTCTCCAATGACGGGTTTATTCCTAATGGTTGCGGAGTGGAAGAAGCCCTGTAGGGAAGGAGAAGGCAAACGCCGAGACTCAACCGTACAGCGATCAGAGGCAGCGGTGGGATAAAGGCAGGACAGACGGCCCTCAGGAACCACAGGGTTTTCTTCCAGCGTCAGTGAGGGACCTTGGGCTGCAAGAGGCTGGTGGTTAGTAGTGTGTCACAATATAACTGTCACAATATATGAGATGGTCCTCACTGCAGAACACGAAATCCAAGGGGAGGAGTTGGATCCAGATCCAACTCCTCCCACCTTACATATACCTAAACCTACCCATCTCCGCCCCCTGATCCCTAACCCCACCCCTAATCCTACCCATCTCCGCCCCCTGATCCCTAACCCCACCCCTAATCCTACCCATCTCCGCCCCTGATCCCTAACCCCACCCCTAATCCTACCCATCTCCGCCCCCTGATCCCTAACCCCACCCCTAATCCTACCCATCTCCGCCCCTGATCCCTAACCCCCCCCTAATCCTACCCATCTCCGCCCCTGATCCCTAACCCCACCCCTAATCCTACCCATCTCCGCCCCCTGATCCCTAACCCCACCCCTAATCCTACCCATCTCCGCCCCTGATCCCTAACCCCCCCCTAATCCTACCCATCTCCGCCCCTGATCCCTAACCCCACCCCTAATCCTACCCATCTCCGCCCCCTGATCCCTAACCCCACCCCTAATCCTACCCATCTCCGCCCCTGATCCCTAACCCCCCCCTAATCCTACCCATCTCCGCCCCTGATCCCTAACCCCACCCCTAATCCTACCCATCTCCGCCCCCTGATCCCTAACCCCACACCTAATCCTACCCATCTCCGCCCCCTGATCCCTAACCCCACCCCTAATCCTACCCATCTCCGCCCCTGATCCCTAACCCCACCCCTAATCCTACCCATCTCCGCCCCCTGATCCCTAACCCCACCCCTAATCCTACCCATCTCCGCCCCCTGATCCCTAACCCCACCCTTAATCCTTCCCATCTCCACCCCTAATCCTACCCATCTCCGCCCCTGATCCCTAACCCCGCCCCTAATCCTACCCTATCTCCACCCCCTGATCCCTAACCCCACCCCTAATCCTACCCATCTCCACCCCTTAGATCTGGATCCAACGCCGCCCCCTGGATCTTGTGTACTGCAATGAGGTGCTACTGCAATATATCGCAATACAAAAATGCAACAATATATATCGTGGATAGTGTCAATATATCAGTCCCTCCAGAAAAACGTGATTATGCGATCGCATGATTTAGTGCATAATCAGCTAAAGTCTGCATATTTATGCGGGGGCCGCATTTTTTCAAATACGCCGCACTTTCGCCGCATAAATTGCCTAGCACCGGCGAACTATGCAACTGGAACGACTGGATGAACATTTTTGAAAACTGTCTCCACTGATAAATAACACTAAGGCTAACTTGGAAATGAGGCCCGATGTCCAAAATCCTGAACCACCCCTTTAAATTAACGAAATTACTCGGAAAAAAGATTCGTTTTGATGAACGAGATCGAACAAGAGAGTCAGTAAAATGATCCTAACGTCCCATCACTAGTAAGGATGCATTTCTGTATTTGGACATGGTGTTGCTAAAGAGAGTCGCTTCACCTGTGTGGCGAGGACGCTGTGGGCCGTTTCGACTGGCGACAGCAGAGCGGGGCTCTTCCTGAATATCCCATCCAGTGCTGTGGATTTGGTGCTTTTACTGGGTTTGTCGCTCGATCCAGAGCTCTTCCTCTTCTTCCCCTCAGAGGAGGTGTAGGACAGTGTGTTGTGAGACGAGACGGCCCCGTGATCCCCGGTGAGCGCCTGCGGGAGGGACAGATCCACGCTGCCGAACCGGGGCTTGCCCCGCATGCTGAGGGCGGCCGTCCCGTTACTAGGGGTGTAACAATACAGTATATCATGTCACGATATATCACAATACAAAAATGCAACAATATGTATTGTGGATAGTGACAATAGTGTGTGGTTCACCCAAAATGAAAATTAGTGTGAGAAAAAATCAGTCCGACATTAAACTACTATATATAATGTATAATGATGCAATGGGGGAATATTTGTGTGTCCTGATTATGCCAAATGTCTTGATCCCTGTAAAAAGTGCTACATTATTTTAAATATATCTAGTCAGTGACAGAGTGAAAGCATATTCATCCAAAATAATTCAGTATTCTCAGCTTCAGAATCATGAATATTGTTATTGTGTCTCTATTGTCCTGTGCTTTGGGTTTCCAGAACCAAGTCCAAACCTATTCATTTACACACCAATTTAATATCAAACTTAGCATTTATTTGTTAACCTTTTACCATATGTCTTGGCAATAATATGGTATGGTGAGTTCAGTATGGTAATATTACATCATCCTTGTTCACGGAAGTATTTAATGTAATTGTTAACCTGTATGTATTTCTAATGTACTATATATATTTCCTTTTCCCTAAGTGGTTATTCCACTTGTCAGGCCGCCATTGTAAATCAGAACTTGTTCTTAATGACTTGCCTGTAACAAAATAAAAAATAAAAAATAAAATGAGGGTGTGGTTACCCGTTACTGATGTGCGGTGGGAGATGGTAGCGGTTCCCACTGTTCCTGTAAGCCGCTGATTCAGAAGCGGGAGGCGCTCTCCGTCTTTTGGGTCCCGCTCCTTCCCCTGAGGCTTTCGGTGTCCTGGCCGGTTTATTCCTCTGCAGTCGGGGTCCGGGGTCGGGTCCGGGATCAGGGTCCCTGATGCAGAAAACACCAGCGCCGTTATGAGAGAGAGAGGAGGAGTTCGAGAGCATCGAGACGCTGTCCACAGGAGCCGTGAGAAACGCTGAGCCCAGGGGAGAGACTTCAGGTGAGCTTGTCATGCTCTCCACCGCTAGGGGGACTTTCCTGTGGCAAACAGGATATGACATCACCAGTCTGTGGTAGGAAGCTATGTGGCACGTAACACGTTAACCTAAATAATGTGCATTTACAGAGCGAAAGAAAGCATTGTGTGAGATTACACAGCTCCACTCAAGCCAGTAACGTTTCAGTAGTTTCTGCCTAAAGTTAAGGCTAATCCTAAAACATCTGGGTCATACTTTACCCCTAAATCAAAGAAAAATTGTAAAATGATATTTTGCATAAAGAAAATTGCTAACACTTTCAGTAGTTAACTAACAATGAACAAAACATTTGTTACGGGATTTATTCATCTTTGTTAATATTATACATGTTAGTTCACAGTGCATTAGCTAATGTTACCAAACACAACTTTTGCTTTTAATAATGCATTAGCAAATGTTGAAATGAACATTAATTTAGATTAATAAATGCTGTAGTACTGTTCATTCTAAATTCATATTAACTAAAGTAGTTCACTAATGAAACCTTATTGTTACCTGACAATACAATCTATTATTGGGATGCATAGCAATATTCATTTCATCAAGTTATATTTTTAATGCATTATTAACTATAATTTATATTTTAGGCTCTATTATTATTAAATATAGTTTATGTTTAATAATAGTATTAATATTAAACATAAATTGTCAGATATTACTAAATAATAATTACAATTATTAAATAAACATTTGTAAATGTGTTTAACTGCCATGAAAAGTTTTACTAATAATTATTTACTTTTATTATTAACAATCATATGTATGACATTTTTCAGTTAAATAATCATAAAAATATTATAAATTATAAATATCAATAAAAGATTATGTTTAACCACTTGTTTAATAATGTCATAATTTATTTATAAAATGTTAGTATTTATTTTCTTAATGCAAAATACTTTTTTGGGAGGGGGGGATGAAATAAATATATTGCATAAAGAAAAATAAATAAAGAAAACTGAATAATTGAACATCAAAATAGTGTGCAAATACAAAAAAAGGTCCTAATAAGTCTTTATTTTCCTATCACACTTTTTTTATTTTTTTTTTATTTTGATTTTGGGATGAAATGCCACACTAATATTTGAAAGCTTTTCTGAAATTCCCAGTGATGGAAAAACAAGTGTATCCACCCATAAATTCTCCCCCAATGTGTCCATAATAGCGCAAGCAGAGAGAGAAACGTGTAACTCGCCTCCACATGAGAGAGTTGACGTGTTTCTCCACCATGCAGTGAAGAGCCAGCCTGACCCGATCCCACCGTCTGTCGAACACGTAGTGACCTCGTCCCATCATCCGACTGCTGAACGCACAACACTAACACACACCGGCACAGACAGACAATGTGTTTCTCAGATTATATTACTTAAATGGATAGTTCACCCAAAAATGAAAATTAGCTCATGATTTACTCACACTCAAGGCATCCTAGGTGTATATGACTTTCTTCTTTCAGACGAATACAATCGAATCGGAGTTGTATTTAAAAATGTCCTGGCTCTTCCAAGCTTTATAATGGCCGTTTCTGTTCTGAAGTCCATAAAAGTGCATTCATCCATTATAAACGAACTCCACACGGCTCTGGCGGGTTAATAAAGGCCTTCTGAAGCGATGCGTTCGTGTATGAAAAATATCCATATTTAAAGCAACACCAAGGAACTTTTCCTCTGCGGTCGCCCTACAGGTTGGAAGCAGAATTGTCCATTACCGCTGTCGTAAATAATTTAGCCAATCGCATCCTACTGTCGCACGCACGCTCGCTGTTTATCCGGCACCGGCTTTGGAATCAACAATGGCAGACATCCCAACCTGCAAGAAGTAATTTCAGGGAGGTATATCTTGGTAACTGGATTGTTGACGGGGGGGTGGCGGGTTGACTAGCTTTCGTGAGGCACACTCGCAAGGTCTCTCGCTCCCTCTCTCTCTGCCGTGCTCGCGCTATGCATGTTATGCGCTCAGTATGTTCTGTCTCGCACGCGCGCTCTAGATTCTGGCAGATTTGAACTAATTTGCGGGCATCAGGGAGACGCTATAGACTTGGGATGTCTGCAATGGCCATAGACAATTTGAGGAAGTGGTGGGGGAAGTGACGTATGCCGTAAAGCAGTCGAGTTTTGTAGTTCTTTTTGTGCTCGGGTTACTACCCGAAACCCGAAGTTACATAGTGCGAGTAAAAGCGACACAGACCACGTCAGGCTATGGCAGACGTGTCATTTAACCTATTGTAAGTCGATGTACCATCACAAGTAGGGTTGGGTACCGAAACTCGGTACTAATAGGGAACCGGTTCCGACGTAAACGGTAGTAACCAGACCGAATAAGAACGACAATTTCGGTGCCTGACTTAATTAGGCACACACGCGCGCACACACACACACGCACAGTCTCTTCTGTCTCGCATGCGCGCTCTTGCTCGCAAGGTTTGGCTGCATTTCACGTGTAAAATTACGCGTCAGAACGCCCTCTGGGTGTGCCGATAGTCTGAATCCCAGATAGAATCAAGCCAATTCATTGGCTGATGGCGCGGGCGCCGCCTCGACGCACTTACGTCGTCATATTATGTTGGCGCGCGCGCGCCATCTGCTCCTCAGATTTCTCTGCCGAAAAAGGAAGCTGGTCGGCAGTGCAAGGAGCTTGGATAGCGTCTCGTTCCCTATTGAGAGAACATAGGTTACACCAGTAACCAGAGATGTTCTCTTTCATAGGTTCACTCAACGCTGCGTAGCTTAGAAGCAGTGGATTTGTATTTGTAGGCTGCTGTATCACGTGCCGTTTGAACTGACGCGCTACAGCGATCTGTCACATTTCAAAGAGCCAAAACGTTATTTATTGTGTGAATCTCGTAAAAATATTGACAGAATCTGACAGCTGTGGATTTGTTCCATATCAAAAGTAACCTTGTCTGTCGGTGTCAGTGTCCTCTTTGTCCGCGATTTTTCTCTGCGTGAGAAAATGGATGTGTGGCGTGAGAGCGTGTGAAAAGGGTCATTTGCGTGAGTCTCACGGTCAATGCGTGAGAGTTGGCAGCTCTGCCTGCTAGTAATCTCTATTAATCTCCAGTATTATTACATTGTTTGATACAATATTGTTTTATTTGATATTATGTAAATGTGAATTTTTATTTTATATTGGTTTTATTATTATTTGTATTTATATTGTTTAAAGATTTAAGTTAATATTGTGTCCAGTTTGGCCCTGTAAATAAAAGGGTATTATTTTTTGATAAAGTGTGTGCGGTTTCGTTTTCTTAAGTACCGTTTCAAGAACCGTTTAGGCACCGGAACCGTTTAAAAAATACCGAGTAGGTACTGGAATCGGATAAAACCCAACCGATACCCAACCCTAATCACAAGGGTCTTGGAAATATATTATGAAGGTTGAAAAGTTCCATAGTGTTACTTTAAAGCTTTATCGACTTAAATAACTAGCTTCCGGCCAAACAAACATACGCAGTCTACTTAAAGCTGCAGTCCGTAGCTTTTTTGGGTTAAAAATTTTAAATAATTTTTTCAAATTCAACACGGTAAGCTTGTAATAATGTTTCTAACTCCAGTGGTGCTGGTGGATTTCCGTGGGAGATTCGAGCATGTCTTTGCGTCATTGGGCAATTCCATGCAAAGGTCATCTTTACCATGAAAAAATAAAATTTTAACCAAAAGAACAAAACCCTTTTTAAGTTATCCATTTAGGTCTGTAATATACTGTATTAATGTGCTTAAACAAAAATTTTAAGAAAATTGCCTTGTTTATCCACCAGATATGAGGTGAGCAACAACGCTTAAATTACATTTTCAACCAGCCATTTTTCATGCTTTCAAAAAAAGGTATCAAAGACCCCCCTTTTTAAACTTTATTTTAACAGTAAGCATTTTGCAGAAAGATGGAGGCATGCCTGAGAAATAAATATACTAATTTGGTCATAACAGCACTGCCTGTTGAATTTATAAGGGCTTTAATAAAGAGGTCTTGACGCTTCAGTGCACTGTCACGTCCATAACGTTTTAAAGGTTTAGTTTATTTAATATGACAATTATAAATGCAAATAACTTGAAACTTTATTTACAAAGCTAAATTATGTTTATGCTTATTAGGATAGACAATTCATCTCACTACTTTGCTCTGAACAACCATAATAATGCGTTACGGACGTGACCGTTACGGACGCTTCATATTAAATTATGCATATGACTATTGTGATCTGTTTCAAGACAGAAATGATTTTGGCCACTTCATTTCAAGTTTTGTTTTGTAGAAAGAATTTATTTAAAGTGAATTTCGTTTTGTATAAATTGTAACTTAATTTTAAATCAAAGTTTCACCAACCAATTGCCTGGATTTAATAAATAAGCAAATATAGCATGGAGGTGCGATCACTTGCAACACGTAAACTTGAGCGCGTCTCATAACTGAACAGAATCATCTTAATGTGAAAATACAGCCATTATGCGTCAACAAAAGTGCCATGATGGTTTGATTGTTGATTTTCCAAACAGATTCTATGTATTTCAGACGTGTCACATCCATAACAGGGTTTTTGTCACATCCATAACGTTGGTTTTTCCTCATAATACACTTCATAAAAATATATATATTTTAAACATTGATATTTTTATGTTCAGCTAAGACCCCTTCATCATGTGGATAGCAATATTTATACATTGGATTTAAAAGTTCACAGACTTTAAAGGAAATCGAACAGTATACCAAAAACTCTGTCATTTCCCGTCACATCCATAACGCATGCATATTTTCCTTTTTTGGGGGTGCTTAAATATATTTTAGAAAAACATATTTTGCCTGTCAATTCCCCAGATTGGGTGCTCTGAGAATATGCATTTCCAATTTAAATATTGTAAGAAGTTGTTTTTTTTCTGAGACATTTCACCTGTCATTATGAGTTCAAATGTCACATCCATAACGCTGGAATTACCCCATTACGTCACATCTGTACACACACACATCTGCACACACACATCTGCACACACACATCTGTACACACACATCTACACACACATATCTGCACACACACATCTGTACACACACATCTGTACACACACATCTGTACACACACATCTGTACACACACACATCTGCACACACACATCTGTACACACACATCTGTACACACACACATCTACACACACATATCTGCACACACACATCTGTACACACACATCTGTACACACACATCTGTACACACACACATCTGCACACACACATCTGTACACACACACATCTGCACACACACATCTGTACACACACACATCTACACACACACATCTGCACACACACATCTGCACACACACATCTGCACACACACATCTGCACACACACATCTGTACACATAAAGAAGAGTCTCGGCTAGTAGGCTATGAGTGTGAGGATGCTGGAGGTGGAGATTTATAGCCTTTTCTCACAGCACTTGATATAATTAAACTTATCAATTTGATGGCGGATCCAGAAAGGTTCAAACGACAATCATCAGTGACAACGAGAGACTCACCCGCTCAACTAGAGTTAGGAAAAAGAGACTGTAACGGCCCATGCGAAAACAAGCATAATATCGGAAGGGCTTTATTTGTAGTCACGCAATGCTGATGTTGAACATTAACAATTTGAGAAGAAAGTATAATTTGCACGGTTTGACGTGATATGATGTGATTACTGCAATGATTTTTTCCCCTTAGTTGGTCAGAAGAACAAAAGTGCATGTTACTTAACCTACTTGTTCAGATTAAATTTTTTGGTGAAAAATATGTTGGTCATACTTCCAAAAAATAATAATCTGATTCTGAATGCAAGTATCCACACCGGCGGCGACTGACAGCCTCACACTCTCCTCAAACATTGTGTTCATCCGCGCTGTGCCGTGTCGAGGCATAACCCACGTAAAGTTGATAATTCCTCGAATAACTGCAATTGCAGATTTTGAACAGAGATGGCGACAAAGAGGAAAAACTACAGACTGCAGCTTTAAGTCTAAAGCACAACTTATGTGAGTAATGCGACGCACTGCTGATATTTACGCTACGCCATGACGCACTATACGCTTCTTCTGACGTCACAAGTTGTGTAAGTTGCGTTTTAGGTGTAACTAGACTGCGTATGTTCGTTTGGCTCGAAGCAAGTTATTTTACTTTATTAACCCGCTAGACCCGTGTGGAGTTCATTTATAATGAATAGATGCACTTTTATGGACTTCAAAACAGAAACGCCCATTCACTGCCATTATAAAGCTTGGAAGAGCCAGGACATTTTTAAAAGAACTCCGATTCGATTGTATTCGTCTGAAAGAAGAAAGTCATATACACCTAGGATGCCTTGATGGCGAGTAAATCATGGGCTAATTTTCATTTTTGGGTGAACTGTCCCTTTAATGCGTATACAGCAATGTAAAGGGTCCCAAACACAACAGACAAACAGCAGTGCAGTGATGAATGGTTGAGTTCAGCTCACGCTCAGGGGTTGTGGGTGTTGTGGAGAATAATGGCACATCAGCTTCTCCGTCTCTTCAGGAAGATCCGCTTCTCCTTCATCGCTGGACAGACGCGAGTCTCCGCTGATTCTCTGCCAGTCGAGCGCAGGTTCAGGAGCAGAGCTGAGCACGACACCACACTCTCTGCAGAGGAAGACATGATCATCTGAGAAACCTTCTAGGTTATTCATATGGCATATAACAGTCATTTAACCTGTTCATCTCTCTTTAGTGTGTAATGTTGCTGTTTGAGCATGAAAAAGAGAGTTATTCTCTATATCAGTGTCAGTGTTTCTGAACTCCATTGTAGTCTTGAGTTTCTTCCGGGAATGAACACGTCACAATATTCCTCATTTAAATAATTAATGCGCAGAATAAAGGGGCGGGGCCTGGTTGAGTTAGTTAGTAGTGTGTTAAACTGGCGGTTATGGTAAGGGGCGGGACATTTCCCAAACACACTCGAAGCGCTCGACCAATCACAACACACTGATCCAGCCGACCAATCAGAGCACAGTGTGCTTTTCAAAAGGAGGGGCTTCATAGAGACAGGAACTAAACAGAGCGTTACTGACAGACTGGGAAGAGAGGAGCCGCAACAATGGAGAATATGAGGAAAATATTGAACATTCAAGCAGGAAAACCTGTTCTAGCAGAGCCAAAAAAAAAAAAAAAAAAAAAAAAAAAACATAATAGGTCCTCTTCAAAAATCATAAAATAATCAAAACAGATGCATAAGAAATAAAAATAATAAAAACTTCTGTTAGACTAGGGCTAAGCATTATACTGAATCTTCACGATTCACAGATGATTTTTCTGGCAATTTAAAATCAAGTAACGTGAATATTGCAATGGTTTTATTTGCCCAAATTTTTATTTATTTTATATATCATTATTTATATATAATTTCACAATCTTTTCTTGTCCCAATTTAAACTTTAGTAGCAAAAATACAATTCTGTGAATCATAGGGGTGACCCCGAATAGTCGAAGATTCGATGCTTCGATAGGAGGAGCCTGATTCGACTACCAATCTCACGGTCGAATCTTCGCAGATGTGTTATTAAACGAGGATTATGTCATTTTGGCTATATGAGTGTGCTCAATGTCTGATTTCACATAGAACAACTGGTTTTCTGTCAATACGTTAATATACAGCCTATTTTGATAATGCTGTCAATAAAAATGTGCAAAGAAAGAAGCTTTTAATAAATATTTTTAACGTGCGTGCAGCGTGAATAAATCCAAACACCCCGTGACAGATTTAAGTTTCACTTTCGATCCGTGACCGACAGAGGAGCGTCTTGTCGGCAGGGATTTAAATCTGGGATAATAATGTCTGGGATAAGAAAATCTAAAGATGCACACAAGGATATTCTCCAAGGCTGGATTTAGCATCAGGAAAACCATGATCGCACTTCTGCCGGCCAACGTTAACAGGTTGGTTTTCCTCGGGACGTTCTAAAACGCTTAACGTGAAAAAAGCTTTTAAAACGCTTAAATGGCACTTTTACGTGCTTAATGTATGTACACAGTAGGCTACACACCTTAAGAAACCATTCTTTGTGCAGATAAGCAGATGAACCCAGAATATGAACGCAACGCGTTTCTCCGATAGAAAGTCACGTAAAGCTTTTTCTTTAACGGTTTTCTATGGGAGGAAAATGCTTAACGTAGCCTATAATAAAACGCGTTGCGTTCATATTCTGGGCTCATCTGCTTTTCTGTAGGCTATGCTTTATTAATAAGGTGTGTACAGAATTTGATCTTTTAATATAAAAGTTTTAGGACAAAGCCGTTAAGCGTTTTTCACGTTAAGCGTTTTGAATGTATTTTATCCGCGCACTTTGAAAAGACTCAAACGGACACAGGCCGAGTGAAAGACTGGATTTTGTTTTTTCGATCAGGTATGGGTACAAGTGATTTCAAAACATTTCAGCCGGTTCTAATTTGATTTTTGGATACTGTGAACACGTTTAGCTAAAAAGACTGCCGCTCCAGTTTAGCGTTTATTGTTTCTGCAGTTAAAAAGACAAAGTTGACAATCCTGGCCATACTTTCGTTATTTTAATAATTTCTTTATTTTTATTTTATTAATTGATCACTCAGGGTGATCTTATTGAACTATTTGTGACTTGTGTTTTGAATATTTGTTCCCACTTTAGGCATTTTGCACACATTGTTCTGCTTCTTGTGACTTGATTCTGACTTATTTCGTTTTGTATATTTATTTATTATAAATGTATATTGTGTTTTTAATTGTTGATTATTTTTCAGTGCATCGATGTTGCGCTGTAGGCCTACTTAGAGCATGCTCGTACAGGCAATTCAGCCGATTTAATTTGATTTGCATGTGAAATGCAAAGCCCATCTGCAGTGTGGCCTTTCTGCAGTTATTTATGTTATTTCTTAGTTTTATTGATCCAAAATGTTTTTATACATTTTCTTCTATATCTTTGTGTGATGTTCTGTACATCGCGGCTTTAAAATGTTAAAGCCCCGCCCCCTCCCCAACACCACACACATGATTCGACTATTAGTCGACTATAGGCAGGACTTGACGAATCTGATTCGACTAAGAAAATTCTTAGTCGGGGACACCCCTAGTGAATCAGTTCCAAAGGTTCATGTCAATGAATCGATTCAGGACTCAACGGTTCAAAATGCACCCTCACTAAAATGTTTAGTATAAATATTTAGGAAAAGTTTAAAGTTTATTGACATGTTAATATGTTGGTGCATATAAATAAAAAAGGATTGAATATCATGTGTTGATATACTGATAAACGGCATGTGAAACATGCCTTGATTGATTTAACAACAGTTTTACAGTTTTACTTCTTAAAGCAAATTTTTTGAACCTAAGAGTGGTTCAAATCATTGTTGAGCACTTTAGTATGGAAGTCGACTAATTCTACAATCAATGTAGTCGGCAGAACGTACCTGTGCAAGTGTGAATTGGCCAGCCTCAGTTTGAGAGTGGGAGTGGTCTTGCCATTGGTACAGCTTGCGGATTGGCTGGGTGCTGCGTCATGTGACTGCGTGACCTGCACTGATTGGCTGCCTGCTTGAACTTCCTTTTTTTGCCCCACCTCCTTCTCCTTCGCCCGTCCCTTATGCTCCGCTAGAAGAAAGTCGAAGTCTCTCCTCCGTCCTGGGACGGCTCGCCGGTGGGTCAAAGAGTGAGTCTAGAACATACATGATCAAACACATGTTATGAACAGCAACACAGCGAACATTCGAACCAACAGATGTGATTATGAGTAATGATACCAACCTTACAGGTTAACGAACGAGTGCAGGCCCGCCTCGTCTCTGGGTCTAAAACCCCACAGTGTTTATTAGGATCAAACACTCGCCCTGTACAACAAAACAGAGTGGGACTTTATATTGTTATTTTCAGCTAAATATAATGTATTTGATGTATTATACTGCATTAATTTATGCGCTATTTCATAAAATGCAGTAATTATTTGTATATTTTTGTATGTATGTGTACATATACACACACAAGTGTGTATATATTAGGGGTGTAACGATATTTGAACCGAACCGAAAAACCGCGATACACCACCCACGATACGTATCGCGATACTCTCATGGCGAACCGAACACGCCCCGCCCCCTGCCGCCCCGCCCCCTGTTGCCCCGCCCCCTGCTGCCCCGCCCAGCCCCGGCTCATTGCACCTCATGTGTTGTGTACACAACGAATACAGGGCTGTTGCCTAACCACCATTAACCACATATAATCGCAATAAGCTCAGTGTTTTGTTACTTTTGATAATAAGCAAGGTGTAATCTTTCAAATTATGTCTATTTGATCACGAAATGCAAACAATAAATGCTGTTTTGGCGCTCTTAGATGTGGCGTGACAGATATCACTGTATGCATGCGGCAGCGCGGAGCGCGATCATCTCTTCCTCAGTTACAGAATAAACATGAATGGACACCCGAAGGTATGTTGAAAGATACAGTATACTTACTGAAAGGCATCATAACTCGTGCAAACACTCAATCAGTGTTTCAACAGCGGAAATACGTCAATAAAACGCTTAGTTTTTCACATAGCTTTATATTTACCTCAGGCAAGTCATTCAGTGTCCACAGCTTGCTGGTTTGCTAACTCTTTCACTAAATAAATGCTATATATTAGCCTATATATTATATTTTACTTAACCTATTTATGATATCTTGATTATTTAATGTATGTTTAAAATAGTTGTCATGAAAATAACAGCAACTGTATAAATTATTATATAACAATAACAAATTAGAGTAAAAACATGTTAATGCAATGCCTTATGTGCAGTTTACATGTTTTCATACAATTTGTTATTTGAGTGTTGATTATTATTATATCATTTAGGCTAAAAGTCTAGGCTTGTTAAGCTTTAATGTTATAGTAATGTGTGTAAAGGGCTGTAGTTTACAGCATTAGCAGATAATTTTGTTATCCTTGAGAAACGTTTACTTGTAATTGAATTAATTTAAAGACAAGGACACAATTTGTTCATTAAAGCACTGTTTAATCAAAAATAAAAGCAATTTTAGCTTTCTAAACCCCCCCACCACCCCACCGAAATGAACCGAACCGAACCGAGACCTCAAAACCGTGAGACGAACCGAACCGTCAGGTTTGTGTATCGTTACACCCCTAGTATATATATATATATATATATATATATATTAGGGCTGTCAAATGATTAATCGTGATTAATCACATCCAAAATAAAAGTTTTTTTTACATAATATATGTGGGTGCACTGTGTATAATTATTTTGTATATATATAAATACACACACATGCATGTATATTTAAGAAAAAAATATTATTTATATATAAAATATTTATATTTATATATAATATACATTATATATAAATCTATATACAGTATATACATGAAAATTGTTCTTAAATATATACAAGCATGTGTGTGTATTTATATATATAAAATAATTATACACAGTGCACCCACATATATTATGTAAAAAAAACTTTTATTTTGGATGTGATTAATCATGATTAATCATTTGACAGCCCTAATATATATATATATAAACTTGAAATATATATTTTATTTATACATTTTTTATTTATTATTGATATGTATTAGTATGTTATGTTGGTACATATCTCAATATCAAATGATTAAATATGTGTTCATAAATTGTGGAAAACATGCCTTGATTAATTTAAATATTTAGTCTGTTTTACTTCTTAAAACAAATATTTAGAACCTCAGTGGCAATATTTATTATATATATGTGTGTGTGTGTGTGTGTGTGTGTGTGTGTGTGTGTGTGTGTGTGTCTGTGTCTGTGTGTGTGTGTGGGGTGTGGGCGTGTGTCTGTGTGTGCGTGTGTGTGTGTCTGTGTGTTTGTATGTGCGTGTGTGTGTGTGTGTGTCTGTCTGTCTGTCTGTCTGTCTGTCTGTCTGTCTGTGTGTGTGTGTGTGTCTCTGTCTGTCTGTCTGTCTGTCTGTCTGTGTGCGTGCGTGCGTGTGTGTGTGTGTGTGTGTGTGTGTGTGTGTGTGTGTGTGTGTGTGACTGAGAAATCTCTGAGAAACTGTGGCTCAGGCGGTTTCAAACACAGAGTCCTGATTACAACAGTCCCGGGATCTGCCGAAAGCAGCATAAATCAAGCCGAGAGCCGAGTAAACAACATGCGGAGAGGGACGAGGAGACTAACCAGAGAGTTACGACTTAACATTCATGCTTCCAGGCGAACAACAACTCTACAAAACATAAACCACTGAACTTGAGTGTGAAAACAGGTTACGGGATTTATTTCCTTTATTGCTTGTTCATCCTTTTGATTTGTGTTTTTATTTCTCTCTCACCCGTTTTAAAACAAGAACACATCAAATCAAATCTAAAAAATACAAAAAAATCCTCAGACTATATACACAAACATTTCGGAGTTATTTTAAATTGTTATAGTATTTTTTAACATTTTAAAATAATTGAATTTTTACATTTTCGGTTTTCATTATTTTGTTGTGCTTTTTGTCATTTTTATTTCTATTTAGCTTTATTTATTATTTCAGTAATTCATTTTAGCACTTTTATTTCAGTTATTAGCAAAGGCAACATTGCAACCTATATTCTTATATAATAAGAAATATTTCTTTTTTTTAATTTCAGCTTTATTTGAATAAACAAAAAATATTTTAATAGTTTTAGTTAACAATAACAACACGGCATAAAACATACAGTTAAAAAAAAAGACAAATTCAACTAGATAAAACGACTTTTCCTTATTGATGACATCACGAAGGCCATACAGGCGGAGGAAAATAATATTAACCAATAATATCGAAGCACAACCCTATCAAATCCTTCCAATCAAATCCTGTCGGAAGTTAAAAAGTGGTTTCCTACATTATTTCTAGTTGAATTCTTAGTTTCTCTAAAAAAAACAGCAAATAAAATTTTCTTCACTTTTCTTCTCAAAAAGTGTTTTCTACTCACCCGAGACTCTCCGAGGCCTCCCGCCTTTGGCTCCATTCTGATGCTTCTTGTCTGGAGGAGAAGGCGGGACTATCGGTCTCCTGTCCAATAGGGATGGAGACGTGGAGGGTGAGGGGGCGGGGCGTTTCTCCAAGGGTGACCGTGACGGGCTGGGCCGCCTGTCAATCAGTGATGGAGGCGTGGTGGAGCGAGGAGTCCCGGGACCTCGACCGTTCAGGAACTTCTCCTGGATCTTGTGAGATGCTGGTGACGTGGAGGAGGACTTGAGAGGAGCGGATGATGGAGAGGAAGACGAGGAAGAGAAAGAAAGAGAAGAGCTCGCTGTGGGAGACGAAGAGTTGACTTTGATGTGCGCTCCCTCCGATCGGTTGAAACACGGCATCTTTTCCAGACTCACCACAGGTAAAGACACGCTAGAGGACAAAAGATTGTGCATTTAAAAGACACAAAGTGTCACATTTTATTAGTCTAACACAAGGTTTGGGACAAAATAGACACAAAAGTTGCCGTTTAAAGGTTTGGGGTCAGTAAGATTTTGTTTTTTTAAATATATATATATATATATACTAATTCAGCAAGGGTGCATTAAATTAAATTGATTAAAAGACAATAAAGACATATAAATTGTTACAAAATATTTATATTTCAAATAAATGCTGTTCTTTCTATTCATCAAAGAATCCTGAAAAAATAAAATGTATCAAAGTTTCCACAAAAATATAATATAATATAATATAATAATAACAGTGTAAGGCTGGTGCCGGTATGTCTGATCGACCCCTCAATGTGACAAAAGGCCCTCCGGGGAATTAACACTTGAACTATCCCTTGAATATGTAACTCCCTCTTGCATATGTAACAGGAACTTTGGAGAAGCAGCACGCAGTGCAGTTCACACTTCACCCACACTGTCTTCCCCACATCCCCCTCCTCCTCACCTGAAATACACTGAAACCTTATGCAATGTTATGTGTGTACAAAAATGTAACTACTCATGTTTGGTGTCTTTTGATGTATCACAATGCGCCTGGTGACATGGTCTCATTCCCCCAACTATGATGAAAGGCTAAAAGAAGTTATGAAATGTGAGAAAAGTGATGTGTCCCATAATAGCCTCATTCAGACTACCTCCTGTATGTAAAATCAGGCAGACCTCACAGTGTGAGCCCCTGAATAAACAACCAAGATCTAATTATAATGACAGACATCACCATTTGGTAACAATTGAATTATCTGGGTTTATAAGGAAAAGCAGCAGAAATGTTCGGGGAGTCTGTAGGTTGACTGCCCACACAACCGCTGTGTGTAATTTTGTTGACAGGTAACAATTTCTACAAATTCTGTGATTTCTGAATTGATATGCTTAACTGATGATTTTATCCTCTGAATTGGATTTGAAATGATTACATCATTACCTGATCAATAAATTGTAAACGTTTGATTTTATTCTAACCGACTCTGAGAATTGTTTTTCCCCGAGTAGATTATCGGATTCGTATATTTCCACAAGTTTGCGTCAGAGTTTAGTGACGACTAATATCTGATATCAGATTCAAGTGTACTTGAATGAGGAGACGGGTAGTTTCCGTCTAGAATCAGCTAATGCTGTTTGATCTAGATTTGGGTACGTCTAAATACCTCTGTTCTAATTTAATGTTACTTTAGATAAGTGCACGCTACTAAAGTAAATTATTGAATAAGTTCCTGAGGTGGCATTCAAGGGGGCTGTGTATATGTCTTCGATTTTGTACGTGTGAATTACGGCAAATCCCAGACATTCAGCCAATTACCTCTGTTTTGATAATCGGAAACTGACGAGATTGTGCCGGAGACCTGGTGAGGAACTCGAAGTGATATAGTTTCCTGATCTGAGCGGATAAAATATAATCAGAGTTTAAAGAATAAACAAACCTTCGCTAACGTTTAATGATGCACGGATATCATTAAAACCTTTTCATTTATGGAGTCAGATAATAACGAGATAATACATGAGAAAATATATTGCATTTAATCTTGTTGTGTTGCGTGAAAGGAAAGGCAAGTAATACGCAGAGTAACCTTCTACCGCTGATTGGATGCCGAATTTGGACCAATCGAGCCGGACTTTACAACAGCACAACTGTTTTCAACTCTGATAATAATCAGAAATATTTCTTGAGCAGTAAATCAGCATATTTGGAGTAATGATACTGAAAATTCAGGTTTGATCACAGGAATTAATTACATTTCACAATATATTCATAAGCTATTTTAAATTATAATAATATTTCACCGTATTTTTACCGTATTTTTGAACAAATAAATGCAGTCTTGATGAGCAGAACTTTGTGTAAATATTATAAACAGTGCCTATTTATATGTAGAATTTTTTTAGAAATATAGACATATTTCTCTAAAGTTCAATACATAATGAACACAGCCAAACTAATATTAATGTTATTTTGTTTCTTTGTGAATATGCCTACAGGCCAACATTACAGCAGTAGACGGTGTTTACACACACTCTGCTTTATTACACACACTCTAGAACACTAAATTGAACCGATATAATCCTGTGTTTGTCAGGGAAGGGCAGTGTTGTACCCACCAGGCCTTGGCTCGCGCTCCCTTGGGCGGATAGACGGCCAGCGGGGCCTTGCTGAAGCGTGAGTGTGGGTAATCTCGAGGAACCCGGAAGGGAAGGGGATCCACCTCGCTTTGACCCGCAGACATCTTGGCCTTGACAGGAACCAGAGGAGTCCTGGAGCCGCTGGGCGAGCAGTGTCTCCTCTCTGAACACACAACCGTTGTGAAGAAAATACAATTAAAATGTGTCCTTGGAAATAAGAACTTGTTCTTAAGTGACTTGCCTGGTTGAATAAAGGTTAATAACAAATGGCAGAAGATCAGGGCTAAACAATTCATCGCAATGAACGCGATTTGGCAAAGGCTGCGATTATTTTAATGCGCAGTTTGTCAGTGCAGCGGCTGATCGGTAGTAAATGCTGGTCCATCTGAACACCAGAGGGCGTCTCACACACACACTCCATCTGAACACCAGAGGGCGTCTCACACACACACTCCATCTGAACACCAGAGGGCGTCTCACACACACACTCCATCTGAACACCAGAGGGCGTCTCACACACACACTCCATCTGAACACCAGAGGGCGTCTCACACACACACTCCATCTGAACACCAGAGGGCGTCTCACACACACACACACACTCCATCTGAACACCAGAGGGCGTCTCACACACACACTCCATCTGAACACCAGAGGGCGTCTCACACACACACTCCATCTGAACACCAGAGGGCGTCTCACACACACACTCCATCTGAACACCAGAGGGCGTCTCACACACACACACACACTCCATCTGAACACCAGAGGGCGTCTCACACACACACTCCATCTGAACACCAGAGGGCGTCTCACACACACACACACACTCCATCTGAACACCAGAGGGGGTCTCACACACACACACACTCCATCTGAACACCAGAGGGCGTCTCACACACACACTCCATCTGAACACCAGAGGGCGTCTCACACACACACACACTCCATCTGAACACCAGAGGGCGTCTCACACACACACACTCCATCTGAACACCAGAGGGCGTCTCATACACACACTCCATCTGAACACCAGAGGGCGTCTCACACACACACTCCATCTGAACACCAGAGGGCGTCTCACACACACACTCCATCTGAACACCAGAGGGCGTCTCACACACACACACACACACACACACACTCCATCTGAACACCAGAGGGCGTCTCACACACACACTCCATCTGAACACCAGAGGGCTTCTCACACACACACACTCCATCTGAACACCAGAGGGGGTCTCACACACACACACACTCCATCTGAACACCAGAGGGCGTCTCACACACACACACACTCCATCTGAACACCAGAGGGCGTCTCACACACACACTCCATCTGAACACCAGAGGGCGTCTCACACACACACACAAACTCCATCTGAACACCAGAGGGCGTCTCACACACACACACACACTCCATCTGAACACCAGAGGGCGTCTCACACACACACACACACACACACTCCATCTGAACACCAGAGGGCGTCTTACACACACACTCCATCTGAACACCAGAGGGCGTCTCACACACACACACACACTCCATCTGAACACCAGAGGGCGTCTCACACACACACTCCATCTGAACACCAGAGGGCGTCTCACACACACACACACACTCCATATGAACACCAGAGGGTGTCTCACACACACACACACACTCCATCTGAACACCAGAGGGCATCTCACACACACACACACACACACACTCCATCTGAACACCAGAGGGCGTCTCACACACACACACACACACACTCCATCTGAACACCAGAGGGCGTCTCACACACACACACACTCCATCTGAACACCAGAGGGCATCTCACACACACACACACACACTCCATCTGAACACCAGAGGGCGTCTCACACACACACACACACACACTCCATCTGAACACCAGAGGGCGTCTCTCACACACACACACTCCATCTGAACACCAGAGGGCGTCTCACACACACACACACACTCCATCTGAACACCAGAGGGCATCTCACACACACACACACTCCATCTGAACACCAGAGGGCATCTCACACACACACACACACACACACACACACACTCCATCTGAACACCAGAGGGCATCTCACACACACACACACACTCCATCTGAACACCAGAGGGCGTCTCTCACACACACACACACACACACACTCCATCTGAACACCAGAGGGCATCTCACACACACACACACACACACACACACACACACACTCCATCTGAACACCAGAGGGCGTCTCACACACACACTCTATCTGAACACCAGAGGGCGTCTCACACACACACTCGGCGTCTCACACACTCCATCTGAACACCAGAGGGTCTCACACACACACACTCCATCTGAACACCAGAGGGTCTCACACACACACACTCCATCTGAACACCAGAGGGCGTCTCACACACACACGCCAAATATGCCCCGCCGCAGAAGTACGATAACACACATCATTCCAGGAAACCCCTATCGCGCATCATCGCTGTAACTGAATAAACAGAAGATTGAAACGCTTTGATTAAACATGAATAATAAACACACGACTGCCTTATTCTGTGTAAGAAGCACATCATCTCACAGAAAGATGCTCAACTGTCGTTATGAAGTGAGTTTGGAGTAAAATCATGTTATTAAATGTTGTCTTTTGTTGGACAAGAGGTTCATAAATGCTTCTCATGTTTGACGCGTGTTGCTTTTTCAAACGCACGTTATAAGAAACGCTTTCAGACGGAGCCGCGTTTACAGAGCCGTGCTTCACTGACAAGCTGCACATAACAAATAATCACAGCCTTCACCATTTCAAAATCACAATAAGCCAAATCGGTTTAGCACGATTACATGTAAATCACGATTAGTCGTGCAGCCCTACAGAAGACATCAGCCTCTCAACACTGGAGAACCATAAACACATCGGCCCACAGCACTTCCCAAATCATAGTGCATTAAAAGAAAATTACAGTGCACACTCACTTCTGCTAATATTCCACACAACCCACTTACAATATTCAAGAGAGGTTTGTGAGGTTTTCATTTGTAGTAATAATATGTACGTTGAGGAATCTGAGGCTGAAAATGAAACTGCAGTTTTAAATGAATGAAACTAAAAGCTGACCAGCAATGGATTTTTAGGAAAATGCTTTTAGCTAGATTAGATAGATAGCTTACATGTAAATGCAAACAATATGCTATACATAAAACAATAATGAAATATTATTTTATTAATATTTTATTATATTTATATTTTTACTATACACACACATAGATATCTAAATATATCTAAATACAAATATATATACAGGTGAAACTCGAAAAATTTGAATATCGTGCAAAAGTTCATTTATTTCAGTAATTCAACTTAAAAGGTGAAACTAATATATTATATATAGACTCATTACATGCAAAGTGAGATATTTCAAGCCTTTATTTGTTATAATTTTTATGATTATGGCTTATAACGTATGAAAACCCCAAATTCAAAATTAGAATATTGTGAAAAGGTTTTCATAAGCTGTAACCCATAATCATCAAAATTATAACAAATAAAGGCTTGAAATATCTCACTTTGCATGTAATGAGTCTATATAATATATTAGTTTCACCCTTTAAGTTGAATTACTGAAATAAATGAACTTTTGCACGATATTAAAATTTTTCGAGTTTCACCTGTATATATATAAAATGCCTCGCATTGACTTCCATAAACATTTTTGCATGACAACTCAAATAAATCACTGAATCCGAGGTTTGAACTGATTCACAGCAATAAAACAAACTTATCAACTCGGACACTTTCTTAAAATTTTCGTGAGACAATGCACCTGGTTTATTAAAATAGTAGCAATGCTTTTGATGTTGCCTTACTTTATATTTCAAGCAAAACCGTGAATCATGAATATCCCACAAATACATAATCCAGTCCAAGATATTAAAGGAGAACTCCGGCGCAAAATGAACCTTTGGTCTAATAAAACATTGGTACCTAGTCAACCGTTCTCTGAGATTTGTTTTCATGATTATCGAATGTAAAGAGTTTTATCTCTAAAAACTGTTTAGCGTATAACGCTAGTAATGGGGGCATATAATAAGTAAAAAGAAATCGCTAGTTTATACCACTAACAAGACTCAAAATAGCCCCACACGAACACAGTAACACAATGAGGGTCCCTACATGCGAACCGAAGCATTGAGAACTTTGTAAGTGTACAGACCGTTTAATAAGAAGATAAAGATAAAGACAGTCCACTTCGTGTATACAGACAGGAGCCATCTTTGGAAAACAGTCTCGACTAATCAAACCACGAACGCCATTCATACAGTTCAGCTCACTTAGCACATCGTTCGTGGTTTGATTAGTCGAGACTGTTTTCCAAAGATGGCTCCTCTCTGTATACACGAAGTGGACTGTCTTTATCTTTATCTTCTTATTAAACGGTCTGTACACTTACAAAGTTCTCAATGCTTCGGTTTGCATGTAGGGACCCTCATTATGTTACCGTGTTCGTGTGGGGCTATTTTGAGTCTTGTTAGTGATATAAACTAGCGATTTCTTTTTACTTATTATATGCCCCCATTACTAGCGTTATACGCTAAACAGTTTTTAGAGATAAAACTCTTTACATTCGATTATCATGAAAACAAATCTCAGAGAACGGTTGACTAGGTACCAATGTTTTATTAGACCAAAGGTTCATTTTGCGCTGGAGTTCTCCTTTAATAATACGCCCCAAAACTGACATGCCAAAGGAAATGCTAATCCACTTACGGTTCTTGCTATGCATGGCTGTGGACGGGTCGAGGTGGACGCGCTCCTCTCTTCTCACTGTTCAGCTGTTCCCCAACTACCTGCAACGACAAACACTCATTACCACACACAACACAACACAAATCACACACACAATCGATGTACGCGTTTCAAAACCGTCTGTCTGAGCCAGACTACTCTGGAAATAAACAAGGATGTTTTTCTGTTTTTGGTAGTGAATAATAATAATAATAATAAATATAGCTGCGAGCAGCGATTACGGGCCCAAGCCGGTGGCACCGCAACCCCGGTGCCTTTAGTTACCTAAAGGCACCGGAGTGGCGGTGCCGCCGGCTTTGGCCCTTCATCGCTGCTCGCAGCTATATTCATATATATATATATATATATATATATATATATATATATATATAAACAAGCCGGTGGCACCGCCACCCCGGTGCCTTTATATATATATATATATGTCTACATTGTTCAATCACGCCTCACACACACACACTTTTGCAGAGCCCACACCAATGCAAGCTCTATAGCACACATCTTCTCAAAGGTCAAAGCGGAGTTACGATATTGCCCGTCATGCACAGTAACCCTAAAGGCACCGGGGTGGCGGTGCCACCGGCTTGTTTATATATATATATATCGTATTATTCTAACTTGTAAAAAACTATTAACTTTTGTTAATATTCAACCATTTCACAACTAACTTTTTTCCATAGATCAAACACAACATAATTATATGGTGGACTGAAACAAAAATTATTAATTAAATAAAATTATTGTTTTCCTCTGAAATAGCAAAAGCATCACACACTAGCTGTACCTGCTCTAAATAAAAAATAGTAATTCAATAAAAATACAAAATCGAACTAAATAAAATAAATTATTACAAAAACAAAATCAAACCAAAGAAAATATATCTTCGAAAAAAAAAGCGAGTGTCATGAGGAAAGGCGCCTCAGGAATCGTCAGGATTAACTCCATGTGTAAGGAATTTTGATTGATTTTATTTGTCACTTGAAAATTATTGTTAAATGTGTGCCTGCATAACTTTAATAAGATTTATTTTCTTTGATTTGATTTTGTTTTATATAATTTATTTATTTCGATTTTGTATTTTTATTTAAATACTATTATTTATTTAGAGCAGGTACAGCTAAGTGTGCGATGCTTTTGCTATTTCAGAGGGAAAAAAACACATTTTATTTCAAAAAGGCTTTTCAATTAAATAAAATGTTCAAGCTTTGTTTTCGTTTTATTATTTTGTTTGTTTTAAGCTTTGTTTAATTTATATTGTTAATCATCTGACACAAAACAAATGCATAAAGTATCATTTTAACTTTTAAAAAACTATTAACATTTGTTAATAGTACATTGCCTGTCTTTTGTTAATAGGACAAAACATAGTTATTATATTTTATAATATTTTATAAATATATAAAATAAACATTTGTAATGAAATCGTTCAAAAAAATGATATTAGCATTGTTTTAAACTTTGAAATAGAAGTAGCGCAATGCCTGGCCACTCCCGCGCCGCCTCCTTTTCACAATCCGAGGGAACCGTCTCCGGAATATTAACCTCACTCCTAGAAGTCCAATTCTCATTATTCATGCCTCTTACCTGGGATTGATTGCACACACACACACACACACACACACACACGCACGCACGCACGCACTCACACGCACACACACACACACACACACACACACACACGTGTCAAGTCACTTACATTTTAGATGCAATATTGACTGTTCTTCTGTTTCAGCAGCGAAAATAGTTAAACAAAGATCACAGCAGAACCATTGCATCTCACAGCAACGTGTTTTCTCATTACTGAATGATTCAGCATTTTGAACAAATTGGTTGACTCAAAGATTCAATGACCGATCCATAAACATCTGTCTCATTCATGAATGACTCAGTCGTTCAAACGAATCGTTTGAACGAATGAATCAATGACCCGCTCATTAAGACGGTCGCCTGGCGACACCTAGTGACGGTTTAGTGTTATTTGATTATACACTCAAAATATTCCACAACAAATCCTTTAAATTTAATGATATTCAGAACAGAACACGAATAAAAAAATAACTATAATAAAGCCAAAACGAAATAATTTAAAACAAAAGTAAAAGTAAGTGGTGTTAGGCTCACGTAAATCTCTCTTTAGAATCTAAATGTTGCAACATTTGCGATGTATTTGGATGCTAAACTATTCTTTATTACAGGCTTTGTACTTCACTCACGTTCCAATATCGACGGAAAAAATCATCCTCTTCACTTGTGCAAAAATGTGCTTGGAAAAATCACAGTGGAGCGGTGCTTACTGTGAATGATACAAATTGTACTACTGACTATTTCAACATAGCAGTGTAATTTGTATATGTTAGGTTGAATGTTTTATTATTGTGTGTGTGTGTGTGTGTGTGTTTGTGTGTGTGTGTGTGTGTGTGTGTGTGTGTGTGTGTGTCAGTGTGTGTGTGGGGGTCTGGGTGGCTCAGCGCGATTGAACAGTGAAACATACTCCGTCATTTTCTTCATACAGGACATCATTCAAACGTCAAAGTGTTTACTTATATTTGTGTACACTCGCAATAAAACACAACATTGTGTTTTTGTTAAATAAATTAAAGTAATACGTCCCCCGAAATGGCGCTAATTTTAAAATGAAACTAAAATTCTCACGGCTGCACGGGCATTCATAACTCTGCGCGCCCACGGTGAGGGACGAGCAGAACAGAGCGAACGTTGTTTAGTTCATTCCTACTTCCATAGGAATTAATTGAAAAAGCTCACTCTACTCTGCACCATTATTAATGAATTGTGCAGACGTCCTTATTTTACTTTCGCTTTTTACCTGATTTTGAACACAAGAGGGCAGTATAACACTATGTATGATTTGGAAAAAAAAATGTTTTGACTAAACAACCATTCTGGCTGTTTTTAAACTTAAACATTATTCTCTAATTGCTCTCACCATGCCCGTTTCTGAAACTCTGCACATGTCTACTGTCTAATAAATGTGATGTGTCTGTCGGGTTTCATGCAATTTCAAGTATGTTAAGAGTCTCAAAAGCATTAACAAAGAATAATAAAGTTTGATGCGTTGCCACGGCAACAGTATCTAAGATATCAATAATCCTTTCTCAGGTCTACATCTGCCGTGTGTCTACATTATACACATAAAGTTTGAAGCAAATTGGGTAAAAATAAGAGGGTGATTTCAAAGCCTTTAGGAAGTGACACACTTCCTGCTGCCAGTTGGTGGCGCTATAACTTTGACTCACAATAGTCACATCCATGTGATCGGACTCTTACAGCGAACACACTGCTGAAGTTTCATCAAGATCAGTTAATGTATGCAGAAGTTATAACACACTTCCTGTTTCCTTTATTCGCCATAAATTCGTTTCCTCGCCACGGCCAAACCGTTCGAGATATCAAAAATCCCCTGGCAACTTTTCATCCTCAATGTCTTGACTTCATGCTGACCGAGTTTCGTGGCGATTGGTTGAATTCTCTAGGAGGAGTATATCGAATTCCAGGGGCATACGCTTCCAAACAAACCATAATAGCCGACTTCCTGTTGGGCTGGGGTAAAAAGTAAAAGTACAAAGGATATATGAATCGATGAGATCTATATGGGTACCGAGTTTCATATTATTACATTCAAGCGTGTTTGATTTATGGACCAAGTTTTCGGACCCTGTTCCAGGGGGCGCTGTCGAGCCCCCCTGCCACGCCCGGGTACCAGCTTCAGCCCGGCCCTGATGGCCGCGGGTTCTGACCCGTGTGCAAAGTTTCAAGAGTTTTTGAGCATGTTAAGGGCCCCAAAAGTGCGCTGAGAGTCTCAAAAGTATCCAAAAAGAATATTAAAGTTTGATGCGTTGTCACGGCAACAGCATCTAAGATATCAACAATCCTTTCACAGGTCTACATCTGGCGTGTGTCTACATTATACACATCAAGTTTGAAGCAAATCGGGTAAAGCCTGTTTGATTTATGGACCAAGTTTTCGGACCCCGTTCCAGGGGGCGCTGTCGAGCCCCCCTGCCACGCCCGGGTACCAGCTTCAGCCCGGCCCTGATGGCCGCGGTTTCTGACCTGTGTGCAAAGTTTCAAGAGTTTTTGAGCATGTTAAGGGCCCCAAAAGTGCGCTAAGAATCTCAAAAGTATCCAAAAAGAATATTAAAGTTTGATGCGTTGTCACGGCAACAGCATCTAAGATATCAACAATCCTTTCACAGGTCTACATCTGGCTTGTGTCTACATTATACACATCAAGTTTGAAGCAAATAGGGTAAAGCGTGTTGGATATATGGACCAAATTGTCTGACCCGTTCAAGGGGGCGCTGTCGAGCCCCCCTGCCACGCCCGGGTACCAGCTTCAGCCTGGCCCTGATGGCCGCGGGTTTTGTCCCGTGTGCAAAGTTTCAAGAGTTTTCGAGCACGTTAAGAACCCCAAAAGTGCCCGAAAGCATAAAAAAGCATGAAAAAGCTTAGAAAAAGGAATATTAATGTTTGATGCATTGCCATGGCAACAGTATCTAAGATATCAATAATCCTTTCACAGGTCTACATCTGGCGTGTGTCTACATTATGCACATGAAGTTTGAAGCAAATCGGGTAAAAATAAGAGGGTGATTTAAAAGCATTTTGAAAGTGACACACTTCCTGCTGCCAGTTGGTGGCGCTATAACTTTGACTCACAATAGTCACATCCATGTGATCGGGCTCTTACAACGAACACACTGCTGAAGTTTCATCAAGATTAGTTAATGTATGCAGTAGTTATAACACACTTCCTGTTTCACGTTTCTCGCCATAATTTCGTTTACTCGCCACGGCCAAACCGTTCGAGATATCAAAAATCCCCTGGCAATTTTTCATCCTCAGTGTCTTGACTTCATGCTGACCGAGTTTCGTGCCGTGTGTTTGAATTCTCTAGGAGGAGTATTTCACATTCCATTGCATGTGTTTTCCAAACAACCCTTAATAGCCGACTTCCTGTTGGGCTGGGGTAAAAAGTAAGAGCATGAAGTATATATGAACCGATGAGATCTATATGTGTACTGAG